TGCTTTTCCCAAAGGACCCACTTGCTCTCAGCAAGTTTTTGAGGCCCTACCGGGTGCCGGGCGCTGCGGTAGGCGCTGGAGGGCCAAAGTCAAGCAGACGCTCCCCAGGACGAGCGCTGAATTCTACTGTGAAACCAGACTGATCGCGTTTTACAAGTGGGGCAGGGGACGGTGTTTCTCTTTAAGATTGCTACTAGGATTTTTATTATCCACCTAAAAAGTCAATTCGAGTTACTAAGATTGCTTTCAAAGTATGAGTTGCTTTGTGGAAAAGTTACATCTTTGTGATACAGTGTCATCTCCCACTGGAGAAGGGATGGGCCCTTGTTCATTCTGGTATTCTTCAGTGCCTTTCCCAGGGTTTTCATGCTCTGAGGCCTTGTAACTGGCTTGTGAGTTCCCAGGCCCTTGGTAATTTTTGTGGCCACATACCCTGGGGTCCACCTGTTGATCATATTTCCTCATTATCTGTTGGTGGTGAAGAGGCTGTTGCCGTGAGGTGTGTATTTTTGGTTTTCGTATAGGTGGCCCAGCTGTGAGGGTCTGGCCAATGCCTCTGCCATTGCCCAGTTATATAATTTGCAGTCAAATAACAGCTTTCTGTTTAAAATATAACGTGGAAGGCCTCCATTCCTCCCTACCCCCAAAATGTATCTCTTCGCAACATGACCCTCAGAGCCTGACCTTCCTATTACAGGAGGAAGGGCTGTAATTTGGCCTCTGGTGGACTCACCTTTATAAATCCTACTGACATGAATAAAACAGAATCAGTAGCGATAGAGAACCCTTGTGGTTTTAAACAGAGAACTGAATAAGCAGCCCCTCTTTCCTTGTCTCTGAAATTAGATTATCAGCGTTCCTTTTTGGAGTGTATCCCTTCCTATCTTAAACCTTTATATTGTCTACTGTACCACAGGTGGCTCACAGCATAAATATTTTATTACTTCACCCACTGGCGGTGAATATGACAGGTACAGAAAGCCTGCATGTTACTGCTAAATGGTGAGACTTTTCCATAAACTCGCTTCTTGAGCCATTTTGGTTTGTTTACTCAGTAAATTTAGCAACTGGGAGAAGAGCACCTTCAGAAAGTAGAAGTGTCGGGAGGGCTGTCAAAGCAGGTGCTTCCTACTGCACGGTCAGTCCATGCCGCGTGTGGGGGCTGTGCACGCCTACACGTGTCACGACATCTGTTCTCACATGCCCCGCGCAAAGCAGGGGTTTACTGTCTTTCCGCAGGCAAGAAAACCAAGGCTTGAGTAGGCTGTTGAGTCTCGGGTCCTGCTCTTGAGTGAGAAGAGGGCCCAGCAAGGCCGCCCCCTGAGGCCACGCTGCCCCTTTCTGTCCAAGACCTGATTCGAGCTATGTGTGCCGGATTGCAGTGCACGCGGAGAGGCTGTGGGGAGGTGGTGGGGAGGCTGTGGTCCGCATGAAGGCTTCTAGACCTACAGCAGAAACGGGTTCCCTCTGATCTCCATGGTGTGATGCTGGCAATGATCGCCTTCTGTAGTGCTGAGGCTAAACTCCACGCCTCTAGACAGCACCTGGATGACAGACCACAGCGCTCAACTCATTTGACACCTGAAGCTGTTGCGCTAAGAAATGTTGGTGGGTTGGAAACCCGAGGATAGCTCAAGGTGGCCTGTTTTTTTTTGCTTTCTGCTCTTTTATCTGTGTTTTAGTTTTTAATGTCTTTAGCTTTTTCTAGAGCATTAAACTAGCTCAATGAAATGTGGTAGGGAAGGAGGGTAGAAATGAGTGTGAGGTTTTTGTTGTTGTGGTATGAAACAAATAATTTTCTATCCATTGGAGCTGGCCAGTAATAAAACTTCCTGGACCAAAGACGGTCACCCTCACAGGACACTGAAAAGGGGACTTTGTGTTCAAAGCAACTTGGTCTGTGGCCCCTTGCAGGCCCCCAGGATGGATCAGTTAGAGTCCTTCTAGAGAAGCAGAACCAGTAAGACAGAGCAGAGAAAGACAAAGAGGAGCGGATGGGTGCACGGATGGGTGGGTGGATTTCTGAGGCTCTGTCTTAGGACATGATGAGGCCCACCCACATTCTCAAGGGTAATCTTTCCTTAAAGTCAGCTGATCTAGGTGTGACCACAGTGACTAAATGCCATCACAGTGACAGTCAGATCACTGTTTGATTGAATAGTGGGTACTCTAAGCTGTCACCCGGGTATGCTTTATTTTTTTCAGCCATTGCCTTAACCACAGTCTGTCATATCTCCCTTTCCTGCTCCTCTGGTTACAGCTATCGCACCTAGTTTTAACACTCAACCCCCGGCTCAGAACCTCACCATCCCCGCCTATCCCCTGAGCGGGGCCTGAGCCTGCCGTCCTGAGGCCTGGCCGCTGCCCAGGTCACCACCCATCCCGGGGGCGTCTGTGCTCTGGGGAATGTTGGGCTTCCCCGGAGACCCCATCTCAGGGGCGACCATCTGCCCATGTGTACCAGCCTCCAGCCCCTATCCAGGCGAGCTGACCACTCCTCTCTCCCCTTTGACCTCTGTGGCCCGTGCACTCCCCTCTAGGTGCCCTGCACCCCAACATCACGGGCCCGCCAGCAAGTCTCCCAGAGAGGAGGGCGGAGTGTGTTCACAGACACCTCCCCGCCAGATCCAGGGCTCCCAGCCCCAATCTCTGGGAGCCCCCCAGCCAGTGGCTTTCAGGGAGAGGATTGGGAAGCCCGACCCGGGAATGCCGCACCACACGACAACCCCCGGCTCTGCTCTGATCCTGTCCTCTCGAACCCAGAAGCCCAGGCGGAGGGGCGGCGGGCGGTGGCGACCGGGCTGGTTCTGCTGCCCCCGCCCCACCCCACAGGCCCGGAGGGGCCGGGCTACGCTTCTCAATGGGCCGGCGCCTCGCGTCCCCTCGCTCTGTCCCGGGGACCTGGGGGCCAGCGGCGCAGGACTTGCCCCTTCGACCTGGCCACAACTGTCCCAGCGTCTGCTCTGCGGTCACCTGTTATTTGGGAGGCCTCTGCTGGGTCCTGTGCGCACAGCCTGTCCACAGGCTCCGGAGCACCGCCCCTTTTTACTTTTATCTTAGGAAAGTGAGAGTGAAAGTCATGTCCGACTCTTCACCACCCCGGGCACTACACAGGCATGTCCTTGCGATTCTTGGAATTCTCCAGGCCAGGATACTGGGGTGGGTTGCCTTTCCCACCAGATCCAGGGGATCTTCCCAGCCCAGAGATCAAACCCAGGTCCCCCACATTGCAGCAGACTCTTTTTTTTTTTTAATTATTATTTTTATTTGGCTGAGCTGGGTCTTAGTTGCAGGATGTGTGATCTAGTTCCCTGGCCAGGGATCGAACCGGGGCCCCCTGCATTGGGAGCACAGAGACTTAGACCCCAGACCACCAGAGAAATCCCTGCAGGCAGATTCTTTACCAGCTGAGCCACAAGAAGAGCATTACTCATATTTTTAGTAAATTTTTTTAGTTGTTTCTGGCTTTTGGTTCCTTGTTCGAGCCATTCGTTGGTCCTCCGATCCTGGACCACCTGTGTGAGCTCCTCCCACCTGACTTAGAGAGCAGACTTTTGGTGTTGGGGCTTCTGGAGCCCGTGATGTGGGGAGTGAGTGTGTTTCCTCATGGAAAACAGTGTTACAGAAAGACAGGATGAACCAAAACAGGTGCCACGGAGTTTTTGCTTGGTCCCGGCAAGGCTGTTCTCTGAGGAGCCAGGTTTGCTCTGAGTTCTCTGCAGAGACCCTCACTGTTGTTGTGGGGTGGGATTCTGCCTTGTACGTTGGGGGGTTGATTCTGTGCATCTGGGCTGCAGGGACAGAGGGCTTCTTTTGATCCCTAGAGTCAAGGTCTGTTATCTGGCGTAGGTTGGCTCAAAGATTTGGTGAGGTCACATTTAAACAGATAACTACGAGGGGACTTCCCTTGTGGGCCGGTGGTTAGGAATATGCCTTGCAATGCCAGGCACATCAGTTCAGTCCCTGGTTGGGGAACTGTGGTCCCACGTGCCCTGGAGCACCTGAAGAGTAAATACCGCAACCATTGAGCCTGTGCCCCGAAACTAGAGAGTCTGTGCACCCCAAGAGAAGATCCCAAGCGCCACCACCAAGACCCAACGCAGCCAAACAAAACAGAATTTTTTTAGAAATAAACTGACTATAAAAGAAAAATAGGCTATGAATTGGTGATAGAGAAAAGCTAAACTTTTATTTATGTCAGGAATCTGTCAGAATATGTTGTGCCTTATCCTTATTAACCGTGAGGGCCCCTGTGTGCCCAAGAAGTCTAGATTTTGTATAGAAAACATCTGTTGTAAAGCCCACTGATGTTTATGAAGTTGAGGTTAATCAGAGCCTGGGCTGGGGGAGCGTGGTGACGGACAGTTCAGGTGGGGAGCAGGGCAGAGGGCAGAGGGTCACGCAGGGGATCGCCCGGACCCCAGAGGACTCTTCCGTCTGTGCGGCCCGGCCCGGCCCAGCCCGGCCCTGGACACGCGGGCCGGGCTGTCCTGCGATGTGACGCCTCCTCTGCCCTTTCTCTGGAAAGGCTCCTCTGGCCGCCCACCCGGAGACCACCGTGTCGCCGCTGTGGCCTCTCTTGTCCCTGGACGTCCCCGCGGAGGGCTCCAGAAGGTGCGCATGGCATCCGGGGCAACACGGCCTCTGCCACGTCCTCCCCGTTTGCAGCTTTGATCTCCATGGTTTGCTTTGTGATCTCAGCTTTCCTCACTGGCGCTCGGAACGCTCTCTGTGTTCCGAAAGAGGTGTCGTCCCTGCCGGGCGGCGTCTACCAGTACTGATTGTCTGGAAGTCAGGGAGGCACCTCGGTCTCGGCCTCGGGTCCGGCTGCGGCGTTGACCCAGGCTCTGGAGACCCACGCCGCTTCTGCACATTGAAGCTAAGACGAGCCAGGTCGCCACGGGAGGCAGCTGCCATTAGAATGCCTTAAGATTGTTGTAGACATTCTCTGGACATCGTTTTACTATCCTGTTTGTAATTATAAAATATGTGGATTTTAGTTTGCAGTTAACATGTTTCGAACGTTACCACCTTCCTCCAACCCCACGGGAGCAGAATTTGACCCAGAGGAAGACGAGCCAACGTTAGAAGCGGCCTGGCCTCACCTGCAGGTACGGGGTCGCGGGCGCCTCAAGCCGAGGGGCGGGCGCGGCGTTTCCTCCAGGACCAGAGCCCGCGCCCAGCTGGTCCCGGGGCGGGGGAGCCTCCGAGCTTCGGGGCCATGGCCCTGCAGACCTGCACACCCGAGGAAGTGTTGTGGCAGAAGAGAGAGCAGGAACAGGTTTTGTTTGTCTGGGCACGTTACACAAATGACAAAGCTACAGGACTGTCCGTATATTCTCAGTGGAAGTGACTGTTGAGCTGAGGTCGTGGGTCTTATGCAGACATGTCTCAGTCTTGGTCCTCGGACTTACTGTTGGCCTGCGGTGCGTCCCAGGGCCCACCTGCTTGACGGATGCTTTTTTTTCTGACACATTTGTGAAGAAGGAGGTGTGGATTGGGCAGGGCGCCTGCCCCACGAGCTAGATCGGGAGGTCTGGGTCGGCTGAAGGAGGGCAGTCGGGGAGCTGGACACCCTGGGAAGGAGCTCGGTGGGGAGCCGACAGGAAGGGCCAGAGGCAGACAGAGCCCCCCCCCTCAGTGCTGTGTGGCCGTGACGGCCAGTGGCCTGTTCACCCAGCGGTCCCACTCCCTGCGCACCCCGCCTTCCGCCAGGACCCTGGGGTGACAGGACCTGCAGATCCCACCTGGAGGCTGGTCCCAGCCTGGCTTCTGGCTTCTGTGGGCTCCAAGCGGGGGCGACAAGCAGGCATGGGAGTCACTGTGTAGATGCCGAAGAAGGCTATAGTCCGTGGTTCTTATAAGTAAAGCGATTACCATCCTCAGTATAACTAAGCCATGTGCTTTGATATGGATTCTTTAGATACGTGCCTGTGGTTTTTTTTTAAGGTTAGTATTTGCAGACAGAGATTCAACTCATGGTATATTTTGAAATCTCCGTTTAATGAAATACCATGTTATTTGACTCACTGTGTTTTTTTTTCCTCCTAGCTTGTTTATGAGTTTTTCTTAAGATTTTTAGAGTCTGCAGATTTCCAACCTAATATAGCGAAGAAATATATTGATCAGAAGTTTGTATTGCAGGTAAGGCCCAGATTAGCTGAAGCTGCAAATTGCGTAATCTACCCAGAGAATTACCGTGTCACTGAGTGTCTTTTTCTCCTTGAAGCTTTTAGAGCTCTTTGACAGTGAAGATCCTCGCGAGAGAGATTTTCTCAAAACTACCCTTCACAGAATCTATGGAAAATTCTTAGGCTTAAGAGCTTACATCAGAAAACAGATAAATAATATATTTTATAGGTAAGTCCGTACACGGCTGTCTTTCCCTCTTGCACGCCGATGGTCCCGTCACACTTAACCTCGCCGTTTCCTTCAGAGGCTGAAGAGCAGGAGTGGCTGTTCGTGAGCAGCTGGGGGCCCGTCTACACCTCTTGTCTCGGCGCTGGGCAGGGCCCCTTCGCTCTCTGCCTGCTCCCCTACCCCCCCACCCCCCCACCCCACCACTCGCACCCCAGCCTGGTCCAGCTCTCGTCAGCAGGCTGGCCACCCCAAAGCCTGGTTCCCTCTGGACCCACCCAGAGCCGCACCAGCTCGCGCTTCCCCATGGATCTTGGTGGAAGGCGGAGGGTGGGGGCTGAAGCAGGGGCTCTTTGGAGGCATCCCTGCTGGAAGCAGTGGGTGAGGCAGCGCAGCAACCAGGGCCTCCCCAGGCCTGCAGGTCCACGGGGGCCGGCTCGGCCCTGGTTTGGTGGAAGAGGGCCCCACCCCAGGGCTCAGAGAGGAGTGTCCCCCAAGTGTTCAGCTTGACCCCTTCTCCCCTCACACACCCGCCCACCGCCACCTCTGTGAACCTGAGGGTGCCTAACGCCCCTAGACCTGCTGACTCCCACACCAGCACGCTCCTCGGGTGAGCGGGTGTGGGTCCTGGGCGAGCCCCGGGTGCCCCGCACGTCCTCCCGTTTTCCACCAGCCCTCACCCTCCCGGGCTCTGGAAACATGCCCGCACCGGGAAGGCTCCGGCATGGCGGGTGGTCTGGTCTCCTGGGAGGGCAGGCGTCGGGCCAGCCGCCGGTCTTAGCCCCAGCGCCAGCTTCCCGCCCAGCTCCTGGGGGTGCCCGATAAATGTCAGTGGACGAAACCCTTAGCGTAGTTCCTTCTCTGCCCTTGGGGGCAGTAAGGGGCAGCCTAGCCCCAAGTCCCCGGCTCCGGGCTGCCTCGGGTAGTGATGAATCCCGGTGCAGATGGGTGACTGGTCAGAAGGCCGGCGGGTTCTGTGGGAGGGGGCAACCAGCGCAGAGCACCCCAGTCAGCCTGGCCGGGGCCTTTTTACTGGCCATGACCGAGCAGGGAAAGCAGAGGGGCTGAGACGGTGGCGGGACACAGGGTCCCGCAGCCCTCTCTGGGAATCCCGCCCCGGGGCCGGCCTGCGCCCACCGTCCCTCGCCCCGCCCGCCGCCCACCTGCGGTCCGCAGGTTCTGGCACCGCCCCCCTCCCTTACCTGCACACTCGACATGCGTTTTGGCATCAGAGCTGTCCAGTTCACAGATGGCTTCCCTGCAGACTCCCTCCAAGCTCCACACGGCCCGTTTACTTGGCAGAGCCCAGGCTGGACCCGTGACTTAGGGGGGTGACGTCATGTTCCCTAAATGCCGTGTTCCTGTTTTGTCTTCATTGGTGTCGTGTTTCCTTTTTAACAAGATCGTTCCTTGGCGGATGTACTTCTATATCAAAAGGTAGCGTCCCCTATTTAATCACCAGCAAGCAGGTAGGATTTTGGTTCCTGTCTTTCGGACTAAAGCGGAGGAGGCTCTGCCCGAAGGATTCTCCCCTGGGCAGCTGGGTTCTGTTCTGTGCAGAACCAGCGGTCGGTGCTGCGTGCCTGGAGGAGAGGCCACCTCGCGCCTGGGGAGCCATGGCCGAGAACTGGACCAGGCTGTGGTCCAGGCGATTCTCACCGGCTCTCCCTGCCCGCTCGGCGCTGGGCGTGTGGCCTGCTCCCCTAGCCTTCAGTGATGCCGTCTGTAAGAACCGCCCCTGCTAGGTGCGGTCAGACGGGAGCCGGTTCTGTGGGCTCGAGACCAGCCCAGTCCCCACCTCCAGCACCGCCTGCTCCTCACTTCATGTGAGAAAGGTGGAGAGGACGCCCGGGTGCTGCCCTCCGCTCGCCGCGTCCCACATGCTCCAGCCGCGACTTGTGAGGCGGTCTCTGAGACGTATTCGGTCGCCTCCCCGAGACCGTTGGTGTGGAGTCAGACACGCCCGGCTGAGGGATGACGCTCCGGGAGGGAGCTCGCGCCCATCTTGGTCACGGTGGAGCCCGAAGGTCGGGGGCAGGTAGAGCCTGGCCTCAGCCTCTGGCTGCTGACGCGGCCCCGCAGCTGGGGCTTGGATCCGCCGTCTGCTGGCCCTCATGTCCCGTGACCCACCCAGGCCCCGGGAACTCGGGACAGAGGCCGCCGTGGCTGCCGGCGCCCCGCAGGGCCTGGCCTGGGCCCAGGGCAAGCTGGCCTCTTCCCTTTGTATGGGTCAGAGCGACTCCGGGAGGTGAACACAGCCCAGCTTCCGCCTCCGTGTGAGGTGCAGAGCGCCTCACCCCTTCACGAGAGGGGGTCCGTTTGTGGGAGGCCCTGTCCTTGACGGGCAGGTTTCAGACCAGCGTGGGGAGAGCCCTGGCTCCTTTGTGCGGAAGGAGGAAGGAACTCCGCAGCTCTGCTCTGCGTGGACCCTTAGGGCTGCCTCCCGTTTTGCACCCGCTTTCTTGCTCCCCTCTGGAAAAGAAGGCAGGGGGCTGTATTTGCTTTCTCTTTCCTGTGAAATGAAGTGAAGTCACTTAGTCGTGTCTGACTCTTTGCGACCCCATCGACTGTAGCCCGCCAGGCTCCTCTGTCCATGGGATTCTCCAGGCAGGAATATTGGAGTGGGTTGCCACTTCCTCCTCCAGAGGATCTTCCCAACCCAGGGATCGAACCCGGGTCTCCCGCACTGCAGGCAGACTTTTTACCGTCTGAGCCACCAGGGAAACCTTCTCTTTCCTGTACCTGCTCCAAATCTATCAAGTAGTCTGAATTAGGAGTTTATCGATAAGAATATAGTAAAGTTGATTTAGGAAAACAAAATGGCCTCTGGCTCCAGGCCACCCTTGTTTAAATGTCAGCGCTGGTGGAGCTGGGTCACAGGTGGCGCCCAGGGGCCTGGCCGCCTCCAAGTGTCAGGAGCCAGAGCCGAGCTCTCAGGCTTCAGGACCCCGGGCCCCGCTGCTGCCTGCCCAGCCGGCCCGGTGGACACAGAGGAATAGGAACGGAAGTGGGCCGGTCATGCTGGACGAAAATGTAACTTTGTACATCTGAGCCGTTTTTAAGTATTTCCGGTAAAACAGGTGAAGCAAAGGGAGCCTTGAGTTCCATGAGCTGAAGCGCCTCCCCGTGTAGATGTCCGAGGAGGCCGGGGCTCCCTCGGGGCCGGCTTTCCGGCTCAGGGCAGGGCCTTCGTGTCTGAGGTTGGCACGGCCCCGTGCGCCGTGCAGACTTGCTCTCACCAGCCCGGCCACCGCGATCCCTCACGGGCACACCCCTGCCTTGGCTCCGCGCTGCGGCCCCGCCACTGTGCCCTGTGGCTCAGCGCTTCTCACCCGGGTCCCCGTGGGCTCCGCTCCGACCTGTCCAAGCTGGTGTCCAGGCCTCCACGGGACTGCCTCACCTGCCCATCACCCACCTCTGTTCTAGCCAAAGAGGTTCCGTCCCCACCCCACGCCCCCATTTTTAAAAGATCGGTTCCAAAATCTAGAGACGTTAGACCCGCTCCTCGGGAGCATGTCACACTTCATGTCTGACCTGCTCTTTACCTCAAGGTCACTATTCCATTTGTTTCAAACAAGGACAGTGAAAATTTTTAATCATCATGAGCTTATTTTTGTCCCAGAGCTGGCTCTAAACTGGTAGTTTTTGTCTGCTAGGCAGGAACATTTTTCAAACACCAGACCCTTCTGGCTTCAGGCAGACTTCGCTGCATGTTCTGGGTTAGGCTGACTCCCGGTGAGCCTGGTTGTGGGGCGGCAGCGGGTTGTTTCTGGGGGACCCTTGGAGAGAGAAGACGCTGTCCTGTTTCCCGTCCCTGGCCCCTCTCCCTGGCCCCAGGAGACTCAGCAGTCGTGTCTCAGAAGCCAGGCTCAGCCCTGGCAGCAGGGACGTGGTTACAGTAAGTCCTAGTTTGCTGCCTCAGGCTGACACAGGCGCTGGGAGCCCCGGAGACCATGCACGGGGCCCAAGGGAGCGGCTGCTCAGACAGGGGTTTCGGAAGGTGGCACTTGAAGCAATGTAGGAAAAGTGTGGGTGTCAGGGAGGCAGTAGGAGAGACAGCCCCAGTGATAAGGAAGTAACTTGTACCCTTTGCAGAGACCATGCTAAATATCGGAGGCTTTACAGTTGAGTCAGGTGTCAACTTAGCTTGAGATGTGGCAAAAAAATAAAAGCAAACAGCAAGCTATTTGTTGTCAAATCCGGGTGGTTGAGAGGCAGCGCTCACTGTAAACATCCTTCCCGATGTAGGTTTGAAACTTTCAAAATAAAACATTGGGGAGAAATGGGAGCAAGCCCCCGCTCCCTGCCCTCTTGAGTATTGCACATCTAGGCCTTGAGGAGTCTCTGGTAACAATTAGCGCTGCCCTCAGAGCGGTTTTCACAAATAGCGGTGCTTCTTGTTGCCTGGCTATGTGGTTTTCTTCCTAAAAGCCTTGTTTTCTTCTTCAGAGCATTTTCGTCTTTTCCAGCCGTGATTTCATTGTTCTAATTCTAAATGACATCTTGCTCTTTCCAGATTTATTTATGAAACAGAGCATCACAATGGCATAGCAGAATTACTGGAAATATTGGGAAGGTAAGTTGTCTCTGTTATTGGCAGCGAACAGCCTTAGGTGGGATTCATGCCAGAATGATCCAGCTCACTGCGTTCAACTGCCCCTCCCCAGAGCAGGGCAATGCAGGCCGTCTTCTGCTGCTGCTGCTGCTGCTGCTGCTAAGTCACTTCAGTCGTGTCCGACTCTGTACGACCCCATAGATGGCAGCCCACCAGGCTCCCCTGTCCCTGGGATTCTCCAGGCAAGAACACTGGAGTGGGTTGCCATTTCCTTCTCCAGTGCATGAAAGTGAAAAGTGAAAGTAAAGTCGCTCAGTCGTGTCCAACTCTTAGCGATCCCATGGACTGCAGCCTACCAGGCTCCTCCGTCCATGGGATTTCGAGGCAAGAGCACTGGAGTGGGTCACCATTGCCTTCTCCAAAGCCGTCCTCTAGAGGAACTTAAATCAGCCTCACCATGGCAAGGGCCCGTGAGCCCTTGAATCAGGACTGAATGACAGGCCTCTCCCATTCGTATGGTACCATATGTAGATGGTTCCATGTCTATACCTCGGTAGCATTACTATGGGAACCCAGTCTCAATTATTTCCTCAAGAGCAGTGCTAAAAGTAGCTACATTAAGAAGGTTTACATCTGACACTTAGAAGAAGAATAGGTCGTTAATTATATATTTGGAGTATTGACTAAATGCTTGTATTTCAAATAGCTTTGATTTTATAAATTTTTCATGTGTATTCTTATAAACTAACATTTCAAAAATGTCATCATCTTAATCCAAGTAGAGTTCTTGCTTCCTATCATTTTTTTTTTTAATTGATGACCAATAGGTTTTCTCTCAGGCCTCCTAACTCACTGATTCTCAAACAGCGTTCCTCAGGGTTCCATGGCTGAATAAGCCCAAAAGTGCTTTTTCCCCAACACCTCACTTGGGGATTCAGTCCACGTTAGAAGCTAAAGGTTCTGAGGAGTCCTGCAGGGAAGAAACCATCCTCCTGTTCAATCTAGTAACTCCCAAAGCTGTTGGAACACCGTAACAGGGTTATCTGGCAAACTGAGGTCCAGTAATTCTGAAAACAACTTTCCTCGCGTTTCAGATAAAATGTAAAACAAACAGCATCCCTCGTGGCGAACTCCTCTCTGACACACTCCCGGGTTCTCTCTCCCAGCGGAGTGTAGCGAGCATGGGAGTGGGCACCCTTGTTGTCCAGCCTCACTTGACGCTCGCGCCTCCCGCTTCCTTCCCTGTAAAGTGGGAAGGTAATCGTATTCATGTCTGAGGCTGTTGTGAGGCTGCAGGGAGTCGAGTGACGCGTCCAGACAGCCCCCACGCCACACACGAGATCCTCTCCTGTCCCCTCGTTTGAAGGAGCAAATCATTCCCAGTGGTCACTTCCTACTAACCCCACCTGAGTGCCCCAGTGCACCAGGCTCCTGAACAGAGCACCAGTTGAGAAACTACTGTAACCGCTTCTGCAGCTCTCAGCAACTTACCTAAGTCCTCGATGTCGCAGATGAAAGCTTCAGCTTGTAGGTTAAGAGCAGGGGACCCCCTTCCCTGCAGAAGGGAACAACTTTCTTGTTGCTTTTTAAATGACACCCACTTTGCACACGCAGACTCTGTTCTGCCAGCACTAGAGTAAAGAGGCAGGATTTCTCTGGGGAGGTGAGTGAGAATTCCAAAAGATGGTGGAGGCCGAAGGCAGGCACTGGTGCCCACCTGAGCTGCCGGTCTCAGGGCACGGCCTGGCAGAGGGGCTTTTGCCCCCAGAGGCTCCCGCTGCTCCGGGTAGCTACCTGTGAGCTCAGAATTCTTAAATCACCCTGCAGTTCCAAAGAGAGAAATGCTGTGCTTCCTGAAAGGGACCTAACGGTTTTTTTATTTCTGCTACTATCCACCCTCCTTTTCTCTGACACTCATAATTTGCTTGCTGGTTTTCATGCTGAACACAAAAACTAAAAGAAAAACAGTGAGATATGTTTTTTAATCTGGAATTTGTAAATATTCAAACTTTGAATAAATTCTGTTTTCGCAGTATAATTAATGGATTTGCCTTACCACTAAAAGAAGAGCACAAGATTTTCTTATTGAAGGTGTTGTTACCTTTGCACAAAGTGAAGTCTCTGAGCGTCTACCATCCTCAGGTGAGGGCTCCTCCCTCGATGGTCACTGGGGCCTCAGGAGGGAGCGTGGCCGTCTCTGCTTGGACCTCAGTGAACTTGGGATGTTGAACCCCAGCCTCCAGCAGGGAGTGTTTTCTCTGTTACAGCACATATGGACTTGGGTGTCAGCGTTCCGATGATGAGTGAAAGTATAAGGGAGTAAAAGGAGATTGCTTTTTAAGAATATCAGAAAATTCTCAAGATTGGAGAATTTCAAAATGGGTTGTCAGCATCGAAAAGGGAGCATTTCACACGATGAAGGGGTCAAGGAAGACCTCTTGGAGGAAGACAACTTTGTAAAAATCTGTTTACAATGACACTGAAAAACTAATCCATAAATGGTTTCTAACGGGTTGTTTGGCTGCATTTCCCCCAGGAAATTTGGATTTTTCCTTCACCCCTATTATTCTAAGTACCATGTAGACAGAAATAAGCCACACTGACTGCAGCTCGGGAAGTTTTGGGTCCTCATCTAGGTTCAAGAACCAGGAAACACGCCCCTCCGCATTCTGTGGGGCATCCCTCGAGGAGTGTGCCTCACGGCGTCACAAAGTGTATTCTTTGGTGGTAGTTGGTTAGTTTAGTTTCCAACTCTTTGTGACCCCGCGGACTGTAGCCCGCCAGGCTCCTCTGTCCATGGGATTCTCCCGGTAAGAATACTGGAGTGGGTTGCCATTTCCTCACCCAGAAGATCTTTCCGACCCAGGGATCGAACCCACGTCTCCTGCATCACAGGTGGATTTTTTACCAACTGAGCCGCCAGGGAAACCAGCTGTCCTAGTAACACTGGCTTCCTGGGAGATCTTTTACTTAGAGTTTTTTCTCTGCTTCCTGTTAACTGGCAACATCTTTACAGCCAACCAGTTTGTTTTCACATTAGTTGTTCTGTATTAGAAATTAATAGTTTAGGGATTTAAGATGGAAACAGATTTTATTCTATTTTTTTCTCCCAGCAGTTAGATTACTTGTCCATTACAGTCTCTGAAAGGCCACAAGGAAAGTCCTCACCAGTGCTGGGCTGACTTGGTGGTATTGGTCTAAAAGACCATCTCCTGGTTTGTTTGTTTTTTTTTTTTCAGCTTCCTGATGTTCCTTCTACAGTTGACCTGTGTTGCACATCGGTTCTGGGGTCCCTCCCTGAGAGTCCCTCCCAGGGTGGGAGGAGGGGGGCATGGGGCATGTCCAGGCCTGTCTCCCCAGGGGAAAGTGCCTGACGGTGATGCAGTGTTTCCATGGTAACGTGCAGTGTTAACACTCTGTCTCTCTCACTGTAGCTGGCCTACTGTGTGGTGCAGTTTTTAGAAAAGGACAGCACGCTCACGGAGCCGGTAAGTACAGCCGCTCTGCTCGGGGCCCCGCGATGTCATGTACGCATCTCAGTTGTCAGCACTGCAGTCTGGCTCCTTCACCGGGACAGCCTCTCCCTCCTAAGTTACAGCACTGACAAACGCAAACTGGTCCCATTTGTATGCTGCAAGTTTTCAAACTGTAGCAATTTTAATTGCAACTCCGCTTGTCAGAGTGATTCTTTTATGTAATAAGGTGGCCACCTTATCCCGCGTTGCCTTTTACTCTGAATGAACAGCATGGCTGCTGAATCGCATGTGGTTTAATACTTCCACATCGCTTGGTTTAACGACTTCAGTCAGAGGAAGTGTAGTAAGGATTCAAAATGCCTGTACTAAAGACATTTTACTGTTCTGAAGATTCTCCGCAAGTTAGAGTGTAACTATTTTATGATCATTATATCATAAATGAACGTTAGATTGCCACCGTCAGTGTTTAGATTTCTAAGTTTCTTGGCATTTTACCTTTATTAAAAATAAAAAGGCCTTTGTAACCTAGCTTTCACAGACTCGGGTGTGTCAGGCGGCCGTTGAAGCGTTTGCATACACTTTTTTAACCAGCTTTATTGAGATGTAATTCTATGCCATGCAGCTCACCCACCTAACGTGTGTGATTCAGTGGTTTTTTTATACACTAGGTTATTAATTTCTTCAATTGTGGTAAAATACACTATATAACAAAATATGTTATTTAAAGTTTACAGTCTTGTTGTTGTCCAGTTGCAATAGTCGTGTCTGACTGTGAGCCCATGGACTGCAGCACACCAGACTTCCCTGTCCACTGTCTCCTAGAGTTTGCTCAGACTCGTGTCCTTTGAGCCGATAACGGCGCTGATTGCATTCACGATGTTGCGCACCTGTCATCACTGTTTCTAAAACTTTGTCGTCGCCCCAGACAGAAACTCTGTCTTCGTTAAACAGCGTTGCCCCAGTTAGCCTCCACTCCCCCCGTGATGACCTCAGCTCTGCTTTCTGTCTGCGTTTGACTGCTCTAGGTTCCCTGTGTTAGTGGACTCATCCAGGATCTGTCCTTTGGCAGCTGGCTTATTTCTCTCAGTGTCCTGTGCCCAGGGGTCATCTGTGCAGTCACGTGTGCCAGAAACTCACTCCTTGTTGGGACTGGGTCGTGCCCCATTGTGTGGCTGGACTGCATTTAGTTAGCGCATTCACCTGTCCATGGAAACTTGAGCTGTTTCCACATTTCAGCTTTTGTGAACAATACGGCTGTGAACATCTGTGTGCGAACATTTCTTTGTGTCCCTGCTTTCAGTTCTCTTGTGTGTAAACCTGGAGGTGGACGTGCTGAATCACATGGTAATTCTCTGGAAATGCCATTCCGCTCTCCACAGCAGCTGCACCGTTCTGTGTTCCCATCAACAGCCACAAGGATTCCAATTGACCCACACCCTCGCCGACACTTGCTGTTTTCCATTCTTTTTACTGTAACCATTCTAGTGAGTGTGAAGGAGTATCTCGTGGTTTTTGATTTGCATTTCCCCAATGACTAATGATGTTGGGCATCTTTATACATGTATATTAGCCGTTTGTGTTTCTTTGGAGAAATATCTTCAAATTCATTGCCCATTTTTAATTGGGTTGTTTTACTGTTGAGTAACAAAGCAAGAAGTGTCAGCTGCCAGTTTAAATGTTTGAACACTTTTAAAAATCACTACTGGACTGAAAAAGGTGACTCTTGTAATTCCTGAATCTTTCCTGTGCCTTTAGTGGTCTTCCACAGTTTCCTCATTGAAATTGTAATTTTTATAGTGAAAAAAAAAAGAAATTCTTAATACTGTATCCTGAGTTAAACTGTTTCTGATCTCTCCTTTCTTTTTAAGCTTTTAAATTTAACATGTGGCACCCCCCTTCACCCTAAAACTCAGGGGAAGCCCCTGGCCATTCTGCTCAGCGGCTGCCTGCGGGGGGAGCGGGAGCCCCCTGCTCTGCAGCTCCTCCCTGGGGTTCCTTGCATCTCTGCCTCAGCTCTGTCCAGCATTCTGGACGCCCCCCCAACCCAGGAGATGGCCCAATCTTACCAGACTTCCAAACCAAACACAAAAAGTATTTACTGCAATTTAGGTCGAGGATGTGTTATTTTATCCTCCTACTAAAGTGATGACATGTTTAGATAGGGAAAGAAAACTGAGGGGCGGGGCTGCGCCGGCCGCTTCCCAGTCAAGCTGAAAGGGCTCGGGAAGCTAGCTGGCCTTGTTGACCCTTAAATCGCATACTGAATGGCCTGGCCCCAGCTACCCTCGCCAAGCCGCGCAAAGAAGGATGCTCCTGGCTCTCGTCGCCCTCCCAGGAGAGGGAAGAATTGAGTATTGTTAATAACTATGGACTGGAGACCTTTTGGAGCCAAAAGGAAGACAGTCTTGAGTCTTTCTTGTTATGGGTTGTAAATACCACATAAAGAATGAGTGCATGTGATGCTGGAAACTTGTAGAGAGGAACTACTCATGACTGAAAGGCCTAAAACAGATGTATCTTTTGAGTTCTTATCGAGAAAATGACTATGAAGAAAGTGATGGGTCAGGAAGACCAGTGGAAAACTCCTTAGGAGAGAGCCATAGAAAATGTACACTTCAGAAGAGAGAGATAATCAGAGAACTCAAAAAAGGAAAATATATCATGTATGCCCTCAGAAGGGTAAAAAGATTTTTATTCGTGTGCATGAGATTACTCAAATAGATGATCAGATATACCAGAGCCTTGAACGTGAGCAAAACTTTTGTGAAAACTTAGCTCTTATTATGTGTGAGAGAACCCACACTGGGGAGAAACCTTATAGATGTGATATGTGTGAGAAAACCTTCATCCAAAGCTCAGATCTTATTTCACATCAGAGGATCCACAGTTATGAGAAACCTTATAAATGTAGCAAATGTGAGAAGAGCTTTTGGCACCACTTAGCCCTTTCAGGACACCAGAGAACGCATGCAGGTAAAAAATTCTATACATGTGATATCTGTGGCAAGAATTTTGGTCAGAGCTCTGATCTGCTTGTCCAGCAGCGAAGCCATACAGGCGAGAAACCATATCTGTGTAGTGAGTGTGATAAATGCTTCAGCCGAAGTACAAACCTCATAAGGCACCGAAGAACTCACACGGGTGAGAAACCATTTAAGTGTCTGGAGTGTGAAAAAGCTTTTAGTGGGAAATCCGATCTTATTAGCCACCAGAGAACTCATACTGGTGAAAGACCCTACAAATGTAAGTGTGAGAAAAGTTACCGACACTGGTCAGCCTTCATTGTTCATAAGAGAGTACATACTGGGGAGAAGCCTTATAAGTGTGGTGCCTGTGAGAAGTGCTTTGGCCAGAAATCAGACCTCACTGTCCACCAGAGAGTCCACACAGGTGAGAAGCCGTATAAATGCTTGGAATGTATGAGAAGCTTTACCCGGAGTGCCAACCTCATCAGGCACCAGGCAACTCACACTCACACTTTTAAATGCCTTGAATATGAGAAGAGCTTCAGCTGTAGTTCAGACCTCATTGTACATCAAAGAATTCGCACGGAAGAGAAACCGCATCAGTGGTCTGCATGTGAGAGTGGCTTCCTCCTAGGCATGGGCTTCGTTGCCCAGCAGAAAATGAGAACTCAGACAGAGGAGCTGCATTATAAATACAGTGTCTGTGATAAAAGCTTTCACCAGAGCTCAGCCCTTCTTCAACATCAGACAATCCACATCGGTGAAAAACCATATATCTGTAATGTGGCTGAGAAAGGTCTTGAGCTCAGCCCTCCCCATGTATCAGAAGCCTCACAGATGTCTTGACCAGACAAGAAGTTATTATACCATAAACAAACAAACAAAAAAAGATGTATTTACAATGTAAGAGAACTCATTTAAGATGGAGAACTCAAAGCAAATCTCGATTTTCCTCAGAGCTCAGACTTTATTGGGGACCAGAAAATCTGCAGTTATAGGAACTTGAGAAATGGTTTGACCAGAGAGCTGTTTTTACAGAACCGTATCAATCACTCCAGTGAGAAACCTTACAAATGCCCTGAGTTTTTTGAAAACCTTCAGTCCAAGCTCATGTCTGATCACCACAAGAGGATTTATACAGGTGGGAAACTTACAAGTTCTGTGAATGTGAGAAAGCTCTCTAGCAATGCTCACCTCTCCTCATTCCAAGAGAATTCAGATCAGAGGACGATATTTTTTTAATGCCCTGTGAAACAGTGCTTCAGACAGTATGCACGTCTCATTGGACATCAGAAAGCCCCACAGGAAAGAAACCCCAGCAGTTGTGAAAAAAGCCTCTTAACATAACTGTGACTTTATTACCCATCAGAGAAGCCATACAGGTGAAAATTTGTGTATTTGCCTTGAATGTGGCAAAAGCAGTAAGTGAAGAGCCTTCTTGGGTTTGCAGCCCCCCCTCCCCCAAAAGAAGAAAATCTGATGAAGGACCTTATGAATTCTCTGAATGAGAAAACTTCTGTCAGTGATCAGTTCTTGTACACCAGGGAACTTGTATAAGTGAAAGACCCTATAAGTAACCCTAAGTCTGGGGGAGAAAAAAAAATCCTTGCAGGAAATCTCTACGTTATTGGGCCCCAAAGAAACTACTCTGGAGAGCATTTTGTAGACCTCTATAGAGGACTAACTGTGAACTGTGTACATTTAACAGGTATGAGAACTGTTCTCATAGTTAGTTGACCCCTGTAGTAGAGATGACTTTTAATGGAATCGACATGCAAACAGTTTTGTTTAGATACCCAGAAACTTGTTCTGGGAAGAGCTAGGGCAGGTCAGAGTAGGCCTGATGGGTTACTCAGGTAAAGATGCTTTTCTTTTATCTGAACCACTGAATGATTGCTTTACTTTCAGTTTTTAAAATTTGGAACTCTAATAAAAGAAAGGACTGTAATTGAGGAAAAAAAAAAAAAAGAAAACTGAGATGGCACTAATAATAAAAAAAAAGCCCTTTTTAACATCTTTCTAGTGACACATCCTAATTCCTGTCTATATGTGAAGCTCTTTTCCAAACTGTTATATGAAGAAATCTTAACACGAACCCTGTTCTTTTCCTACTATTACTACTTCAAAAATAAGAATAAAAGTGTGTATTCTTCTTCTATGATACTTCTTTGTGCATATTTCTCATACTGTCTAATGGCTGAAGAATTCACTGGATCTTATTACCCTCCATTTATCATGGAACAAGGTTTTCTCACCAAGCCACCCCCTACAGGTTCCGTCCACCTGCACACCCCCCTCCCTACCCCACCCCATCTGTCAGAACCTGGTGCTAATCCTGCTCCAGCAAGACTCAGTGAGCACCCCCACCCCCGTCTCTGTCTCACCTGGAAGTAATACAGATGCTGATGAAGCTTGTGCATCTGTGCCTAGTCGCTCAGTCGTGTCCAGCTCTTTGCAACCCCAGGGACTGCAGCCTGCCAGGCTCCTCTGTCCATGGGGATTCTCCAGGCAAGAATACTGGAGTGGGTTGCCATGCCCTCCTTTGACACAGGGATCAAACCCAGGTCTCGGCTCCTGCATTGCGGGCATATTCTTTACCATCTAAGCCACCAGGAAAGCCCAAGAATACTGGAGTGGGGAGCCTGTCCCTAATGGATCTCTCAACTCAGGAAATCAAACCAGGGTTTCCTGCATTGCAGGAGGATTCAACAGCTGAACTGCCATATTAATTCCCACTAATAAAGCTAGTACAGCTTTGCAGCAGTGAGAGCTTTTAATTGTAGTGGTCTGAAAAAATTCAGGAGACAGACAGTGTCCTGGCTTCAGTGGGGTCCTTCTGTCTTAGATAGTAGATAGAAAACTCTGACTCGGCACAAACCCAAAGCTACTTCAGGTCTCCCACACCCAGTCCCCAATATTTCCACCCAGAACCACTTCATTTCTTGATTTCGTATAGCGCAGGTAATGTAACAGCACCCTTGATTACAGAGTGCTATTAAAGATGTTAATGTAAAAAAAAAAAAGTTTACAAATGTTCAGACCCTTGCCTCAGTAACTTCCTTGCTTTAGAATTCACATGTTACAAAAATCCAAAACCCATTTTGTCTGACTTCAGCATCAAAAGCATGTAGACAATTTGATGAAGGTGTAACCCTTGTGAAGGTGTTGGGATGGGCACTCAGCCTGCGTCTCACGGTCCTGCACCCATGATGTACCCATTTGTGATCTGTAACTGTTTTGTTGTTGTTGTTTGTAAATTGTGTAGAGCGCCCAAAAGCTTTCTGGGCATGTTGAACACGTGCACTGTTGTTATAAGAGTTAGAGGCTCATTCGCTAGTGGGTAGAAGTAAAATCACGCTCCTCTTCCACCCGCCTGTCCCTTGAGGCTGATCGAGCTTTGCCCCATGGCCTTTCCCCCTGGTGTTCCAGGACAGGAGAGGGGCTCCCAGCATGCCAGGCTCGCCAACCACCACCACCGCCACCCCCAGCCTTCTCCCAGGAGTGGGCCGCCTGTTGGCTTCCCCAGGAGAACTCAGTCTTGACGTACGCCTGACAGCGAGAGCCATTGTTGGCTCAGATTAGCATTCCCTGAGCAGACTCCCGCTCCTGCAGAACGCCCTCACCCGTGGAAGGAGCTGAATCGGCTGGGTAGTGGTCAGAAGTCGTTCCAAACAGTGTGGAAAGTAAGCCCAGTGTACAATGCTGACTCCAGAAATAGGATCTTTCCCAGAGACATCAGGCAGATAAATCAGTTGTGTTCTATAGTTCACAGATCAGCATATTTCTCCTAGTAAAATTCCATTTTGTCAAATGACAAGGAACGTTGGGTTTGTGAAGTGATTGGTACCTGTTGAATTTTAAAAATGATTCCAATACACAGAGTGGAGTGGGGGTCAAATGTCTACTAACATGATTTTGAGCAGAAAAGTGGGAAAATCATCAAATGATGCATTTTTTTAAATGATCCCTCTTAAAGACAGTTGTGTCATAAATTTTTATGCCAGACTTCCAAACTGGGGGCACTTTTTGAGTAAATTTGGAGTTTTGTAAAGTGTAAGAACAGAGAAGATTATCCAGGGGTCTGAAGGTCAGAAGCATCAAGGCAGAGTTGCCCTCAGCGGATATTGTTCCGAAGCCCCTTGTTTTACCTGCGGTGATGGCGCCCAGGCCAGGAGCAGAGCTGTCGTGATATGCAGAGCCAGGGATGAGCAGTGAACGGAAGCCAGGCCGCGAGCGGTGATTGTCACCACAGTCCTGGCGCTGGCAGCCAGAAATGGCCGTGACGAGGGTAAATGGCTGCATTAGGTGACAGGTCGCAGTTGTTCAGTTAAACATGCAAGTAGGTATCTGCACTTTACAGACACGTGCATAATGTTTTGGATCGTTGTACCATTTTAGGCTTAAGGTAGCTAAACTCTCAGGCATACTACTAGTCTGCATCACAAATCAGATATTTTTGGGTGGACAGCCTCTATTGGTAGGAAGTTTGGGAAATGCAGGAACATGATAAAGAAAGGCTGCCGGCAGGAACTTTGCCTGTGTCATGGGCAAGGAACCTAGCGGCCAACACTCCCCAGCCAGGCCGCTGCCATCCCACTGGGCGTGCCTCCCAGGGAACGGCCGCACAGACCTGCACTGGGGTCCTGGCCCGGGCCAGGCTCAGCCACTCGCTGCGGCCAGCGCACCACTGGCGCCTGTGTGGGCTTAGTAATAAAGTCCTCTCAGCGGCCCCAAGGCGAGGATCGTTGTTCCCCTTGGTATTTAAGGAGGGCTCCGGGGCACCAACGGGCTGACACCAGCCCGTGGCCATACAGAGGGCTTGCCAGCAGCATCAGTACTTCACAGTACTTCACGTCTCTCTTTTGGATGTGTTTTAACACCATTGAAAACTGTGTACACAGCTATGTATGTGTATATGTGTGCAGTCGCTAAGTTGTGTCTGACTCTCTGCGTCCCCACGGACTGTATGTAGCCCGCCAGGCTCCTCTGTCCATGGGATTTTTCAGGCAAGAATACTGGAGTGGGTTGCCATTTCCTCCTTCAACAGATATTCTCGACCCAGGGATCAGATTCACATCTCCTGCATTGCAGGTGGATTCTTTACCACTTAAGCCACCTGGGAAGCCCCTATGTATGTATATGTGTAAATATATATGAACAGTCAATTTGAGAGAGAAATGGATTGTGCCTATGTATGTGTGTCTCCACCCGAAAACACTTATACGAATTCATATGCTCTACGTTTCTCCACTGGTCTTATTTTCTCTAAACTCACCTAACTGCCTGTCTTTTTGTCTTTTTTTTTTTTTTAAGATCTGACTCTTACTAAGATCGTGGTTAAACAGAGCGGGTCATGTAAATTAAAACTGTGATTCTAAAGTGTATAAGATTAGATCTAGCTCATGGCTCAGATTGTAAAGAATCTACCTGCCATGCAGGAGACCCGGGTTCAATCCCTGGGTCAGGAAGATCCCCTGGAGAAGGGCATGGCAACCACCCACTCCAGTATTCTTGCCTGGAGAATCCCAAGGACAGAAGAGCCTGGCAGGCACCAGTCCACAGGGTTGCAAAGAGTCAGATACAGCTGAGCCACTAACACTCTGAACCCTAACTACGAAAGCCCACGTTCTCAACCGCTGAATCACTGTTCCTTCTTATAGGGAAGAAAGCACCACCTCATCTGTGGCTGCTCAGAGGGGCCTCCTGAACAGGAGAGCAGGCCGTGACCCCTGAACAGGGAAGCAGGCCATGACCCCTGAACAGGGAAGCAGGCCGTGACCCCTGAGCAGGGGAGCAGGCCGTGACCCCTGAGCAGGGGAGCAGGCCGTGACCCCTGAGCAGGGGAGCAGGCCGTGACCCCATGACCCCTGTATGTTGCCTCTTCTGCAGGTGGTAATGGCACTTCTCAAGTACTGGCCAAAGACCCACAGTCCAAAAGAAGTCATGTTCCTGAACGAATTGGAAGAGATTCTGGATGTCATAGAGCCGTCAGAGTTCGTGAAGATCATGGAGCCTCTTTTCCGGCAGCTGGCCAAGTGCGTCTCCAGCCCCCACTTCCAGGTAGGGCGCCTCAGAGAGCAGCCTCGAGCCCACCCCTCAGGAGCCGCTGGGCCGCAGGGCGTCGCTGGCCATGCTTTTGCCCTTCGGGTCGTCTGAAGGTGACAGTCAGGCTTTCGCTTCAGCTGAAACACGTTGAGGCTTCAGGTCTATAAAATAAGCCTCCAGTGCCTCATCCCCGCCCTGCCACTAAAGACAGGCTTCTCAGTAAGAGTGGTTAAGGGCAGCTTCTCTGTAAGCGCCTCCGTCTCTGTGTTCCCCGGGCGCCCAGACTCACACAAGCTTACTGTCCACAGCTGAGTGCTCAGTATTTACAGAGGATGTGCACCTGTTGGGCTTCCACTCCCTCTCTCCCTCCATCAGCGCTCCATTTCTGACACTTGAGTCTTAGAAAACAGTCATGGTTCTGACTTCCGTCCCTTCCACGTGCCTGCGTGGGGGCCGCAGCCAGGCCACGCCTTTCCCGTTCGCCCTCACACCCTCCCAGCCCCCGTCAGAGGTCATCCCGGTGGCTCTTCCAGCCTGTCTGCCTCCTTTTAACACACTGGCCACCCCATCGTTTTGTATCGAGACAGTATTTACGGTGAAGTCTTTGTGAACAAGGTAGAAATGTAGGCACCAAAGGAGCAGAACCTCATGGTCTCCAGGGAGTCTCGATCCGGCCAGAGAGGGTGAGGTGGCGGCTCAGTCCTGCCGGCGGGTTCAGAGCTGGCCCCACGGTGGCCTCTGCTCCGCCCGCGTCCCCCGCCCTGCTCTCCTCAGCCGGCCACCCCGCGGCCGTCTCACACCTCCTCCCGCTGGCCCTCGGCAGGGACGGGCCTGCCACCACCGGCTTCGAGCAGAAGCCACATTTCCGCGCACACACCGGCTCTCCCTGCCTCCCCTGCTGCTGTTCACCACGCGATGTAGCACTAACATGTCAGACCACTCGCCGTCATGGGTTCACCCCACAGAGCGCAAGCTCCCCGTGGCAAGGGCTTCTGCCTGCAGGACTCCCCGCGGGATCCTCAGGGCCAGACGGTGCCTCCCCAGGTGGAGACGCCCTCCCCGGTGGAGACGCCCGTAGAGGGTGCTGAGCGGCTGATGGTTAAGGAGGGCGAGCTCATGTGACTTATGGCCTCAGCATCTGGCCTGTGTCCAGCAGAAGTGTTGGTCGAACTCATGGAAAAATCAGTGACGGAGATCTTGAGGGACGTGGAATCATCCGCCTCTTTGTTGAAGGCGCCTCAGGGTTCCAGTCTAGAGCACTCTGGTTTGCAGAAGTGATCCTACCCTGCCCTTCCCGTCCAGTCGTCCTGCACCTGTGTGCGGACCTCGATGAGCGCCGCGCCCTTCTGCCTTGCAGGTGGCGGAGCGGGCGCTCTACTACTGGAACAACGAGTACATCATGAGCCTGATCAGCGACAACGCGGCCAAGATCCTGCCCATCATGTTCCCATCCTTGTACCGCAACTCCAAGACCCACTGGAACAAGTGAGCGCCCGCCGCCCACCTTTCTTTTACCCCTTTCTAATTAACCTGTCTGTCTGTCTGTTTAATTCAAGTAGCCTTTTTTTTGACCGCACTGGGTCTTTGCCGCTACGTGCAGGTTTTTCTCTGGTCAGGGCGAGCAGGGCACCTCCCTAGGTGCAGCGCGCCGGCTCCTCCCTGCAGTGGCTTCTGCTGCGGAGGGGCTCTAGGCGCGCGACCTCAGGAGTCGTGACCCACGGGCGTGGTTGCTCCACCGCATGTCAGGTCTTCCCAGACCAGGGATCGCACGTGCCCCGCCTGCCTGCATCGGCCGGCAGATTCTTAACCACAGGACCACCAAGGAAGTCCTGCGCTGGCCATTTTTAAATTTTGCATATTTTCCTGATACTTGAAGCCGATTACTATTGAATCCAAGTCTCAGTATCAGTTAAAAAAAAAATCAGATGCCGATTTCTCCGTGGGCTGTGACCCAGCAGAAGTGGGGGCTGTGTCTCGCCCTTCTGTTGGCCTCCTGTGCCCCAGTCGGGCCCACGTCGGAGGGCGCAGTGCCTCCCTCCCCACCCGTCTCTTGTCCCCAGGCAGGGCCAGGAGGTGCATTTTCCAGGCCTCCTCTTAGGTTTCCTCCAGAGGAGTTGAAGGTCATCACAGCCTTGGGGCTCAGTCCCTGCTGGAGCACAGAGGCCACCCTTCCCGTGGGGGCCCCCGAGCCCTGCTGACACTCACCCTAGTGAGCCCCCCTGTGCCCACTGCCCAAGCAGCCAGAGAGAAGGGGCCGCGTAACCCACATGCCACCTCGGAGTCTCCGGCACCTGGCTGCCCCTGCCGCCCTGCTCCGCCCTCCCACTTCACACGGGTGAGCAGACGGACGGAGCCAGCGGTTGTCTGCTGAGACCTCAAGCCCCGCTGTCCTCTGGGCTGCCCTGGCACCCTCGTTGTTCTTGTAAACAAGGAGTCAGGGTTCCGCTTTCTCCATCTTCTGCCCTTTCTCTGTTACAATCAGTGAATCAGAGTTTAAAGCAGGAGGGACAGAGCTCTGATATCCAGTCCTGCCCTCTTGTTTGTGGGGGGACGGCAGGGTGGGATGCAGCCCAGCCTGCAGCTGGGAGCTGGGGGGCTGCTCTGTCTGCGGGCTCTGCCCTCACCCGTCCAGCTGTCAGGGCTCACAGACTTGCTCTGGTGCCCACCAGGTCTCTCTCAGCCACAGCCTCCTCACCTGAAAGGTAGAGAAGATGTTGGCACTGGGACTTCCGTGGCGGTCCCGCGATTAGGACGCCTCACTTTCACTGCCAAGGGCCCGGGTTTGATCCCGAGTCCAGGAACTCTAAGTCCCACAAGCCACTTGGCTCAACCAAAAAAAAAAAAAAGAGAGAGAAAATGTTGGCACCCACTGTTTTGTGGTGATCGATTGATGAAGATAATGTCAGTCCACGTGAAGCGCGTCGCCTTGTGGCGCCCGCCGCCGTGCTGCGGGGGTAGGTTAGGATGGAGAGGGTGTACGTCAGTGTAAGGCTCCTGACGCCTCTCTAGCACGCAGCACACTTCTGCAGCAGCCCCTCATCTGCAGGTTTGGCAGTGGGACCGACGGCCAGAGCAGGAGAGACAGCAGCTGTGACGGCGGAAATAGTAGCCTAGCGGTCAGTGTTCACATGTCGCTTCCAGCAACCTCTCCTGCGTGACATTCACCTTCTGTTGGGCTCGGCAGATGCTAACCAAGGCCTCGGGCTGAGCCCCAGCTCCTGGGTGTGGTTCAGAGCGCTACGAAGGCCGGCGGTGGTGGCTTAGGTCCCTGCCCTCTGCAAAGAAAGACACGTCCTGTTAGATGTTTTCTAAACAGGATCTAGGGCTTCCCTGGCAGCTCAGACAGTAAAGCGTATGCCTACAATGCGGGAGACCTGGGTTTGATCCCTGGGTTGGGAGGATCCCCTGGAGATGGAAATGGCACCCCACTCCAGTATTCTTGCCTGGAAAATCCCATGGACTGAGGAGCCTGGTGGGCTACAGTCCATGGGGTTGCAAAGAGTCAGACACGACTGAGCGACTTCGCTTTCACTTAAACAGGACCTGGTTTCATTATAGCAAGTTAAATACTAGTTAAGGCTTGAGAGTCGAGTTTTGGGTTGTTGCTCCCAATTCTGTGGGTTGGCCAGGCTCCAAGGGGCAGTCCTCTGCCCGAATCACTGTCGGGGGGGGGGGGGTCCCTCACGTTGCTGCAGCTGATGACAGGTGAGACCAGAGTCCTCCCGAGGCCCTGCCGAGAGGGGCACGGCGGGGCCCTCCCTCTCCTGTGTGTCCGCGTCTGAGAGCTGAGCAGGATTAAGCTGACTGGTCGTAGTTTCATTTAACACTCTCCTAAGCTGTGCTTTGGCAGTGTCAGCATTAGTTTTTTGTCCTCAGTGAGTAAGAATGAAAGGAAGCCGACGTCTACAGGAAATAAAACGTTTCCATTATGCTCTGTATGATTAAGCTTGCCTTAACTGTACCTGTTCAAGGTTCAGCATTTTTTATTCGACTTCCCAGTAAGGCAGCTTTGGGCTGCCGTCAGCCAGGTCGGTGAGCCGGAAGGCCCAGGCGCTGCAATGAGAGGCATGCTGGAGCAGGGCTGCCTCTGAGAAAACCAGCAAGGAGTCAAAACGTCACAGGCTTTTAACTCTAGAGCTTAGGAGACTTGTGGGACCGTTGAAACACGCTGACAGGCTGGGAGAGGAAGCAGTCTGTGGTGGGGAGGGGAAGGAGATGGATCCAAAAAGATGAAGCATCCTGAGTTTCAACATGAAGCTTTCGTTGCAGGACGATACACGGCTTGATATACAACGCACTGAAACTCTTCATGGAGATGAACCAAAAGCTGTTTGATGACTGCACCCAGCAGTTTAAGGCAGAGAAACTGAAGTGAGTTGCTCTTTTCAAAAGTTGTTCTTTCAAAGACTTTTTTCCCCTTAATCCTGAATAAACCTCTCCCATTAGTTTGTCCTAAGAAGTTATTCTTCACTTCAAAGCAAAATCTGCCCTTTGGTACTGGAAAGCAAATCAAATCTTTGTGATGAAAACGTATTTTCTAAGCTAGCTATCCTCTGGCACCTCCGGTGGTTAGGACTCAATGCTTTCACTCCCGAGGGCCCAGGTTCAATCCCTGGTTGGGGAAGTAAGATCCCAAAAGCCTCACAGCCACCCCCCCCCCCCAAAAAAAGAGACCTTAGCTATTCTACCAGTTCAGTCAACGTTACATTTCTCAGGGGACACTTAAAGACAGGAATGTGTAGTATTTTTTCATGGTCATCAGGCGGGAATTTAGACTCTGTCCTGTAAGTTTTGTGTAAGAGAGCCAGACCTTCACCCAGCATAACTTCATTGTTCTGATTGTTGATCCCCATAATTTCGGGCATTCTCTCTAGAGTCTGGTGCCTGAGTCCCTCACAAAACATCCTCGTGCCGTGAGGATGTCAGCCCACACCTGTCCAGGGACACACTCAGTGACTCCCTCCCTGGGCTGTGCTGGCGACAGCGTGCTCCCTCCGGTATCAGAATCACAAGTGCCGTGTGCATCCCTCGGTGTGTGTTTACCTGTATGCCAGGCCCTGCTGTGAATAAAGCAAACAAAACCCCTTGCCCTTACGGAGTTTCTGCTCTGGGCCGTGCAGACAGAGAAAGACAGCAGAACATAAATGAGTCTGAGACGGTGACGAAGGGAACAGCAGGAGGAGGGTGCAGGGAGCCGGCCGTGGTGTCCTCACATCTGCAGGCTGCCTGGCCCCCCTCCTGCCTCAGGTGGATGTAGTGTCCAGGGCTGAAGTGCGTGACCCCCGGGGCTTGTCTGACGGCACATCCTCGTTCATGGGACATCGCATCCCTGAAAGGGACCTCACCCATCAGGCCACACGTTTTCTAGATTTAAAAAAAAAAAAAAGAGTCGGTCCTGTGATGAGTAATTTCCTGAAGGTCCTGCGCCTCGTGGGTGCGGACCTGCGTGCTGTGCCTCTGTGAAGACGTCCTCACCTGGCTCCTCCACGCTGGGGCGTGGTCTCACTCTTCACAGGCGTGTAAGCTTCTCATCGAAGCCGTGAGCATCCTGTGACAATGCACCAAAGCCAGGGAAGGAAGGAGGCGTGGAGGTGCTGGTGCAGACCTTCCTAAGAGCTGAGATTCTTAGACGTGTTAAAATTTTGGTTTGTTTGTAATTTTAGCTCTTTTTCCTCTAAGCCCAGTTTTTGTTTTTGTTTTTCCCCATTGCGTACCTCGTGGTCACCGCTGTGACCTACGTGAAATAAGACCAGACGGGGACAAAGGGGAAATGAGGTGTCGTGTTCCGGCCATGCCCCCCACCCCGCCCCACTTAACGCTTTCTTGAATTTGATTCGTTTCTCTAACGCCAACGACATTTTACTATTTTTCAGAGAGAAGCTAAAAATGAAAGAACGAGAAGAAGCGTGGGTTAAAATAGAAAACCTAGCCAAAGCAAACCCCCAGGTACTAAAAAAGAGAATGACATGAAAACGTCTAGGGTGTGACTTTAGTGTTTTTGTGAGACAGGAGTGTGGCTTCACCGTGGGAGGGGAGACAGACCCACTTCACTAACATTGTGTATGAAACTGTCCGCAATAAAAATACTTTCCAACTTTCGTATAAGTACTTATTTTGTCCCGGTAAGTTTTTACCACAGGATTGGCGTTTTTATTATTATTATTATTATTATTATTATTATTATGCTTTTTAAATAAGATACAAACCTTTCAAATATACTGTGGTAAAAAGAAAGCCAGGATACAACCTCTGTTCTAGGCCCAGATTACAGTATGCTTTTCTGTCTCAAATATCATAGATGCTGTAGCTGAAACAGTTTCTTTTTAATATCAAATTAATTCTACAGGGAAAAAAAAATAAAAACGGGATTTGAAATAGGTGAAGTATGAAGTCGGTGACCTGTTTCTGAAAATGAGGTTTCTACAGGCTTGAGCCTTTCTCGTTAACAGTTGACTGACTTCTGTCATCTTAGCAACTAATCCTTTTCTCCCGTCCCGGCGCGCCCTGGCCGGTGGGCCTGGCGGGCGTTGTCTTCTGGGGCCGCCGGCTCTGAAGTAGTGTCACCCGTGGAGGTGAGCCAGCTGACCCCCCCCCCCAAGACGGCCAGGGTTGGGGGCCGGAGCTAGGATCGTGTCCTCTGGACTGGAGCACGGTCCCGGCAAGCATTCTTCCTGGTGCTGAGTATCCATCTGATCATCCCTGAAGAGCCTTTCTGTTGAGTCTCTGCCGCCCTGAGAATTCTCAGGGCTGTGCCCAGCTCCCCAGAAAGAAAAGATGTTTGTTTTCTGAGGATAACTGCTCCAGCTACCCCGTAAAGTCCTGAAAGGTTCTATGAGGTGAACCAGAAGGCACACAGCCTGTTCATTGCCTTTGGTGAGAGGCGTGCACAAGTCATCATGACCTCAGGTGTCCTGTGGGTTCTCGATCTCCGTGGCGTTTTAATAAAAAGTGACACGTCAATCAAAGTTGAAAGTATGTCCTTCACCTTCGTATCAACATGCTGATTTGTATTCCCTAGCTGTCTATATTCCACGCGCTTACGCAGAAGTGCTGTTTTAAGATTACTGTGAAACTGTGCAGTAGTTGGTTGAGGCAGATGGCTATGGGTGTATACTTTTAAGAACAGAATCTTTGCTGAACATCAGGTTAAAATACTGGCTGACGTTTGTTGTAAAGCCATGCGTCTGGGGTGTGTGGGTGGACGAGCCGGGCCTGACGGGGCACCTGGCTGCCTCGCTCTGTTCTGACGGACCCGTGCCGAGGTCAGATGGGGCCTCGGGACCAGTCAAGGTTGTCAGGGCCCCCATCACACACACCCTTGAAAAACATGTGAAATGTGTACAGATCAGAGGGTCTGATGTTATTTGTTTTACCTGGAAAAAAGGAATAAACCCCATGGGAGATCCTGCTAACATATATATATATCGTCCTCATTCCCCTGTCTCTGAACCTTTCCTGAATGTTCATCCATCGCATTTTCCCTCCTCTGGCCGCTCTGTGTCACGGCGTCTCTGTTAGCAGCGTCCATGGGGTGGGCTCTGCCCGAGTGCACCTCGTTTGTGCTGTGGAGCCCGGGGCCAAGCACCGCCCCATCCCTCATCTGTGCGTGAGAACCTCCACCCCGGCCTGGCCCATCCGCACACTGCAGTCCACCGCTCACTGCCTGAAACGGAAAATACTTCATGGGCTAGGATCTCAGAGCTGGCAATCAGGGCCTTGGTGCTCGCTGTTCATTCTCAAGAGAGAGAAAATGTTTTCTAAATTCTAAGCAGATGCTGGGAAAGATTGAGGGCAGGAGGAGAAGGGGACGAAAGAGGATGAGATGGCTGGATGGCATCACCGACTCAATGGACATGAGTTTGGGTAAACTCTGGGAGTTTGTGATGGACAGGGAGGCCTGGCGTGCTGCGGTTCACGGGGTCGCAAAGAGTCGGACACAACCGAGCGACTGAACTGACTGACTCACTGCTTGCCATTTATAACCACCAAAAATGGTAAATACTTTTGCGGATGATACAGCTCGCTTTCTGTTTCTGTAACGAAAGTGGGTAGTTGGGTGGTTGCAGGCTCACGCTCCGGCTGGAACCTGCTGTCTGAGAAGTGGTTCACCAACTTCCTCATTTAAGGTGGTCCCCAGCCCTCCCCCTGTTCGCGGGGGGGACTCTAGCAGTCTGCCTGGTGCTGAGCCTGGGGCTTGCCGGAGCCAGGTCTCATCCGCCCTGAGACGTGACAGTAGGTCCCCGTGTAGGCCGCTGGATTCGGAAAGCTGTGGTCCTTTGGATTCAGGTTGTTTGTCTTAGCAGTTGTGGCAGCTTGCATTAGGGTGTTTTTAACATCAGACGTAATTCAGTTTTGTAAAGTCGTGAAATACGGAAGGTTTCTAACGTGAAGGTGATTTTCCTAATCCACCAAAAGAAGCCATACAGTGGTTTAATGCTCGCCTCCCTTCTGCGGGGAGCACGTGACGTGCAGACCAGGCGCACCTCTGATTTTCAGACGCGGCCGTGGCTCCGTGTTCTGTCCGTCAGCAGCGAGAGGACGATGCGTGGCAGGCCCGGGGCACAGAACCTGGCTGCCTGCCTCTCCTGTGGGAGACGAGCCTCTCTGGGGATGTGCATTCCCTCTCCTACCTGTTGAGAGCGTCAGCCTCGGCGGGCGGGGGAAGGTTTTTATTCCTGGTGAGGCCCCTGTGCCCACCCCCCTCGCTGCTACTGACCCCGACTTCCTGCAGACATCGCCTAGCATCCTTGTGCGAACTTCTCTTTGCCCCGAGCCCCACTCTGCCCTCACATAGCCGCTCATCGGTGGGTTCTGCATGGAGCACCGGTTTTCTCCTGGCGTGGCCGAAAGCTGAAATACTGGTTTGAACCCACGCACCGCCTCCCTATCTGCCCCACCCAGCCTGAGTCCTGCAGGACAAGTCGCATGAGGCTCCCTCCTCTCTCAGCTGATGGTGCCAACTGCGTGTCCCAGGATACACAGATGGGCATGAGACGGCGGGCCCCGTGTCAAGGAGGGGAGCCAGGTGGGAGCAGAGAGGACCCAGACAGGCAGGTGACACACCCGGGGGTGATGCTGGGGAGGTTCTGGTCGCGCCTTTAGAGAGGGACGCGTCCCCACACCACCAGGACTTCAGCGCCCCCCAGGAGCGCTGGGCCGCCTGCAGATGGGGCCAACGCTTCTCAACTAAGCCGGGGGTGCTTCAGCAGCCGGGGCTCAGGACAGGATGGGACCACTTGGGAGACCGAGCTGCTCGTGGATGGGTGTCGTCGTAGGGGAGGGGCTGGGCGTGGTCTGAGTCAGGGCCGAAGCTGGAGAGGCAGCAGGATCCGTGGGTTTGATCCCCTCCGGTGTGCGGGCGTCGTCCCAGCTCACCTGTGTTCAGAAAGCTCGTGAGGTGCTCCGGGGCACCTGTGGACACATGTGGAGGTGTTGCTGCTGGCCAGGGCAGGTGGGGGCACCGAGGGGCCTGGGCGCCTGTCACAGCGGGAGAATCGGACCCGAGGAGGTGGCTTCCTCGAGGGGGCAGCCTCTTTTCCCAGGACAGCAAGGAAGCTGAGGGCGGGAGTCTGCCAGACCCTCAGGGAGCATGAGGAGGGACAGTTCTGTCATCCAAGCCGCGGCGGAGGAGAGAGGAGCCGGGCTGCCCCGCGCCCCAGGCCCGGGAGGGGGTGGGCGGCTTCAGGGCAGATGGTGGTCAGCACATGGGCACAAGGTCACCCACAGCCTGGTGCCCGCTGCCCTGTCAGAGAGGCGAGGTCCAGGCCTGAGGGGTCAGGAGAAGGGCCCCCCAAGAGCCGGGCGGTTCTCTTGGATGCTTGCCCAGTGGGAGGGAGGCAGGTGGGCCTGGGGTCCAGGCCCCCAGCCCAGGCGGAGGGGCTTGCTGTGGGCTGGAGAGCCTTCCACCCAGACAGGAGGGCACGATGCAGGGCGGGGAGTGTGAATCAACCAGCCCCCCACCGGCCCAGAGCCTCAGTGGGTTAGCATAAGGACCTCGGCAATCCTTCAGTCGAGAGGCTTTTAGCACTCACATTATAGCTTGTACTCGGAGTAGCACCCAGCTTGCAGCAGACACACGAGTGGACGCTGAGTGCTAAGGACAGTCAGGCCTTTCCGCCACCTGTGAAGCAAGCTCATCACCGCCACCACCAACCCCCCCAGTCACACTCTCAGAAGCAAAGTCCGAAACCATCCTGCTCACACCAGAGCTTCCCTGGTGCCTCAGAGGTTAAAGCGTCTGCCCGCAATGCGGGAGATCCGGGTTCAATCCCTGGGTCAGGAAGATCCCCTGGAGAAGGAAATGGCAACCCACTCCAGTACGCTTGCCTGGAGAATCTCATGGACGGAGGAGCCTGGCAGGCTGCAGTCCACGGGGTCGCAGAGAGTTGGACACGACTGAGCGGACTTCACCCCAGAGCCTGGCTTGGCCTGGAGCCCGGGCAGAGCAGCACCCCTGGGTGCCCCTACGGGACCCCACTGACTTGTGGGTGCACTGGGCGCCCCCGCAGGGCCGGCCCTGGCCGGCAGGGTGAGGCATGAGCTGCGGAGCCGCTCGAGACTGCGTTGTCCAGGAGAACAGAGAGTGTGCGTCAAAGGGCGGGTGTGGTCTGTGCTGGGGTCAGGGCGAGTCTGGAGAATGTGGGGCAAATGGGGCCTGAGTGAGGGTGACGTGGACGTGGGGGAGGCATGATGAGGCCGCAGGCCAGGTGCAGAGGTTGGGGGCTGGAGGCGCAGGTTTCCATGGGAAGCGGTCCCCATGAGCAGGCCCAGGGCATCAGGAGGCCAAGGCTCCAGGGCGGGTGTCCTGTGGCCCAGGGCTGGGAGAGTCTGGAACCAAGGCGGCTGCTCTGCTGTCCCCGCCCGCAGGCAGGCGGGCATAGGCCAGGCTCAGGCTCATCCCGCACAGAGGCTTCCTTCAGGAGGGGCCCCGGGGAGGGCGGCGTCTGGAGCAGCAGCCCTGGAGCCGCCCCCCTGAGCGCTGGCCGAGAGTGACTCCGCGCTTTGCATTGCAGTATGCAGTGTATAGTCAAGCGAGCACCATCAGCGTCCCGGTGGCAATGGAGACAGATGGGCCTTTATTTGAAGATGTGCAGATGCTGAGAAAGACAGTGAACGAAGAGGCTCGCCAGGTAAAAGCACGCAGAGCTCAGCTGGCCGCGCCCCTTAGAGACTTGCTCATAAGACGTGTGTGCGATTTTAGCCACGTGGCGGACCGCGGCGCCTCCCGTGTATGATAACATGGAAACTCACACGTTGGTCATCTTACGGGAAACGTCCCATCCGTCCATCTTAGGTCAAGTCAGTAGAAACAGTTTTTAAGGGTTAATATGTGCCTGAAATGTATTTTCTACGTTTACTCTTTAGAGGAATGATCCCAGCTCTTAACTGCAAGTCAGCTCACAGCCAGAGCAAGAGCTCAGAAGGTCTGCGGTCATGTCTGCCCCGTGTACGCCCTCTGCCCACCTATGGCTCCTGCTCTGGCCCAGAGCCGGCCCCTTTAACTTCTCCGCAGAGTTCCTGCCAGCCCCGGGGTCCCCAGGACGCCGGGCAGAGCTATCATCCTGTCAACAGCAGGGTCCTGCTCACTCCGAGCTCTCTTGGGTCCCTCAGGCAGTACTCACACTCACGTGGTCTTATTTCCACTTCTCAGAGATGCGTATTCAGATCACCTCTGGTCCAAAGAAAGGCTCCTGTCGCTGAATCGGGAGCAGACACGACTTAGGCTTTGCAGAGGGTAGCGGTGGAGCCCCTGCCTGCGAGCGGCGCCTCAGCCACGACATGTCTCTGACGGTGCCTCCGTTCTCAGCCCAGGCAGCTGATAAGTGCTCCCCAAATCTGGGGACATGGCCCTTTCTGACTCTGAAACTGGAATCCCCTTTGAGCTGCGTAAGAATCCCTAAAGACTCCCAGCGCTACAATCCTGAAATGTAAAAACAAGTTAGGCTAAAATTAAGCCGCACTCTGAATGCAAATGGTTTTGAGATAAGAGGGTCATCCTGAGCTCAGGGTTCTTTTTTTTTTTTTCTTTTAAACTCTTTGTTTTTCATTCAAGTAAATTATGTCCCCTGCCTGATTAGACAGGATCGGACGTCACTATGGGCACACCCTCAGGACCATCCAGACCACCGTCTCCACACAGCAGCCAAGAGGCGCACGGGGCCCGTGGCCGTCTGTGGCCCGAAACACACCAGGGGGCTCCCCGGCTCAGTACACAGAAGAGAACCTAGGAAGCCCCCATTCATAGCTCTCTGGTACTGACAAGGTGTTGAAATGATGCTATTTTGGACATACTGGCTTAAGTAATAAATGTTATGCAAATAATTTTCATTTGTTGCTTTTCACTAGTGTGGCTGCTAGACAGTCTGGAATTCGTGCGTGGCCGGCACTGTCTTCCAGCCGGGCAGCAGGGGCCCAGACCCCCTTTTCACGGGGCTGCCGGACCCACCCATGCCTCCTCCTGCCCGGCTGGCTCTTGGCCTCAGGTTGAGATAAAGGCAGGTGGATGCAAACACTGAAACTGCAGTGGAAAAACATCAGTGATGCATTTTTTACTTAATCCAGTTTGGATTCCATCATTTCCTCACAATATTCTTGGCAATGAATAGCCTGAATGGAAAAAAACAAAAACCTTTATCTTTTTTCTCAGTCTTATGGGGGTGTTAATTTTCCTACTAAGTTTTGTTGTTGTTTTTTTAACTTGGAGTTTGAAATCATTTATTTGATTGCCATTTCGATTTTACAGCCTCGGGTGGGCTAGAAATATAAGCGCTGGCATCATTACTGCAGGCAGTCAAAGGACGTGCATGTCAGGGTCCCTTCTGCCAGCAAGCCTGCCCATGGGTGGTCTTCAGCCTGACCGCACAGTGGTCTTTAGGTCACCCAGGCCCGACAACACAGAAAGGGAAAGCGACAGCTTACAAGCCAGTCCTGATACGTTAAGTATTTTAGGGCTGGAGGGGTTTTCTTGGGGGGATGTCATTTGACTTGATAATTAAACCCAGGAAGAGGATAGACTACTCCCAAAGTGTAATGAGCATATTACATAACTGTGCGATCTTTGGGTATATTTCTGACTCAGGGCCCTCTCTGTGGGGGATTTAGAACACAAAACAGCATTCTCGCCTTGAGAAAGACTGCCTTTGAAAGTCAGTATTTCCGCAGTGGCTGCTCCTTCCCAGCTGGCTGATCTTCCGGTGGCCCCTGGGGGGCGTGTGGGGGGCGTGTCTCCTCCGCCTCCCTGCACGGTGGACACGGAAGCAGCCTCTGCTCATCCACTGCCTAGTCCTGAGTCACCACGTGTAGACCGGGCGTCTCTCGGAGAGCTCTTCGTTTGCCAGTTTATTTTCGTGAAACTCTTGAAATTAGATGATATGACGGAGCTTTCTGTGTAATTGGCATTCCTACAAAACTCTCCCCTCCCCACCCCACCACGTTACCTTTAAATGTCTATGGATCTTATTCCTGGGTTGGAAGACTCTGTACTATTAAGGTGTCAGTTCTCTCCCAAATTAATGCAACCCAGTCAAGAATCCCAACAGTCTCCCAAATTAATGCAACCCAGTTAAGAATCCCAGCAGTCACCCTTCTCTTTTTAAAGGCATTGACCAGCTAATTCTAAAACTGATACAGAAATGCAAAGAACCTAGAATAGCTAAGATAACTCTGAATAAAGAATAAAGTTGGAAGACTAACACCACCCAATTTCAAGACTTATTATGGATTTCTATGGATCAGTTGAACTCCCCCCCCCACAAATATCAACCTACCTAGATGAAGAAATTTATAGTGCAGTCTCTTAGCTATAATATTTGATATGACAGGCTCTTGTCAGTTTGAAAGTATTTAGAGTCATATTCCTTAAATCCTCAAAAACACTGTCGTTAAAGCAAAGAGAAGATACTGAGATGCAGGGGAAATCTATATTCATCATTTGGAGACCAAATAGACTTAAGAGGTTATGCTAAAAACTAGGCTCTTCAGTTTTTATATTTAGTCATTGAACATTCTCATTGCCCCTTTTAGTTTATTTTCAGCTAGGTTTATTTTTCCAAAATAACTCCACATTTCTTCGAAGTAATTTGAATGTGGGCTCACAGCTCATGTGAGGTCAACGGCAGCATTGCACAAGCATCTTCTGCAGCGGAGGGGACCCTACTGGTCGTGCAATGTACTGGGTTGGGATTCTGAGGAGAAATTCAGTTATGTATTTACCTGTCCGAACTGTGGTTTGTATTTCTTCTGAGAAAACTGTGTAACCCTATGTAGAACCTCCAAAGAGAACTAGTAAAGTTCGTGTGAATGACGTTCATGTATCAGAGACATTTAAACTGTTGTGCAATTCTCATTTTTAACAGTCGGTCGGGAGGAAAGCAGTGTCGAGCATGCAGTTAAGGAAGGTGTAGAAAGACGGAAGGTGGGAAGTGAAGGTATTCCTCACTCAGTACGTAGAAGTGTATTTATAAGGCTTTTTCTATATTTAGGAAAAGAACTGACAATGCTGTGTACATGAAGTATTTTCCCTTTTTTCCCCCTGTCATTCCAGCTTGTGATGGTGAAGACAAAGGAGTCTGGTCCCTCAGGAGACTTTGATGAGTTCTGTCCTAAATTAAGTAGTGAAAGCGTGCACTCTTACCATGCGCCCACCCCGATGTTGCCTCCCCACTTCCTGAATAGAGATTGGGCCTTTCAGAGCCGCTGTCCCGCTGCGGACAGAGACTGGATCTTTCCGGCTCCGATCTCCGCAGAGGTGTCCTGGGCAGCATTTCCGTCTGTCTTGTCCACCCCACCATCAACAGCATGCTCACCAGCACACCCTTCCACCAGGGTCACTCGTCCAGGGTGACCGTCTGCATGACGTCTCTCTCCTGCCGCCCATGTTTCTGATTTTTTTTTTTTAACCTTTGTGGCTTGTGTAACTGCTCTCTGCTTTACACCCTGGTTTTAAATGGTTACATAGGAAGACTCAGCAGGTCCCTCACTCTCTCTCTCTCCTTCCAGAAGTTTCCCGGGTCACGTTTGCCTTCTCAATTTGCATTTGTTGGTTTGCAGCTCCCAGGTTTTTACTATCGCCTTTTTCTATGAAAATGTTTCTTCTCTTTGGAATGCCTGTCGGCGGCAGTTATTAAATATTTCAAGTATCTAAAATGCTTTTGTTTTGCTTCACTTTGCTTTGATTTACAACTCAACATGGGACGGACATAAAATTCAGGGTAGAATTTCCCTCTGAGGTCCTCCTGGGTCAAAGGCAAACAGGCTCCACCGATGCGAGCACTTTTACAAGGGGTGTGACCATGACGGGCAGCCCTTCGGGGACTGGGGCCTCCAGTCTCCCAATGTGCTGGCGGTCCTGAAGCCATCTTACACCAGTTTCCGGGAGAGAAAATCAGAATTCCTGCCTTTAGCCATAAATGAACCTTAATGACCAAATAACATTTCTAGAAACAATCCTAAAGTGATGTGACACAAACTTCTTTCCAAACCTTGACATTGCTATGGTTTTCATAGATAAATTTGCAAAGAACCGTAAGAAATAGTAGCTCTGCAAAACTGCATGTTTCATATATGGTTTCTGCAAGTCCCTGAATATTTTTATTAAAGCACAGAGAAGTATACTTTGCATATCATACCAGCGGTGCTGGCAAGCTGGCCACTCTGGGGAGTGGTCAGAGATGTGTGCTTTTTGCTATCAAGTGATTGACTTGTACAAGTGTTTTCTGGTAGCTGTTTGCTCAGCACCACCCAAGTATTTCTATTTAAGTACTATCTCCCTTTTGCTGGAGACACTTAAACAGAAAGGAAGTTGTGGTTCTTGTCAAAGTTCCTCACAAACCGGCTGACTCTTGGTACATACGCTGTGTTTAGGTGACTTTGATGGCTTCTTATTTTGTTTCAGATACACTGGTATTGATGCAATGGCCCTACTTCAAAACTGAATAATTTAACTATTATTCATGGAAATGGATGCTGTTGGTATCTAAACTCCCTGTATTTCAGACCACCCTTTCTCTGCAGACACAATTCTCTAAATCCCCATGCAAACAGGGCTCACTTAATTTTTTTCCTTTTTTTCCCCCAAAATGTCCTAAGTTTAGGAAGAAAATGGAATGGAGAAGGGAGTTTTATATCATACCCTTAATGTTAGGAAATTTTATGTAGATAATTAAATGTATAGTTTTTCTAAGTTCTAGAAGGTTTTCCCCCTACATGACCTACTTAATACCTCTCATTCTAAGTATCTTTTTTCAAATTTAATAGAAGTTTTAGACCCGTTGCTGGCTTTGAGTCCAGTTTGAATGTGTTGTTCATTCTTTCTTTTTATCTACCTCCAAGGGAAATTTCGACTTCCTGAAATGCCTCTGTAAGGGACACAACCATAAAATGGTTTCGGTGACATTTTATGAACTAGGAAGATTTTGCCATTAATGAGATGTACTAAAGCTGATGAATTTGCAAAACAGAGGTATCCAATACCCTGGGCAAAACTGCACCTTTTAGAAGACCGTGATGCCAACACTGAGTGGTCCCTGGGTTATCTCTTAATAGACGAGGCATCCCCCCTCGGTCACTGCGGGGGGGGTGAAGGCCACCCCACCCTCTGGGCATCCGGAGTCCTCAGGGGGGCCCCGGAGCGTGGGCTGCGCCAGCTCAGAACAGAGCGAGCTCACCTCCGGGTCGCCAGGTCTGTCGCCAACGCCGTGCATTTCCATTGCAGGCACAGAAGGACCCGAAGAAGGAGCGGCCCCTGGCGCGCCGCAAGTCCGACCTTCCCCAGGACCTGCACGCCAAGAGCGCCCTGGAGGCCCACGGCCACGCCGAGGAGCCAGCACCCCAGGATGGGCGCTAGCCCCCGCGCCCGCCCGGAGCAAAGACATGCTCCGTGTGCCATACCAGTCAGTCACACTCAAGTCCAAGCTTTCTCCAACCCCATCTGTAGGCAATCACGTCCTTCTGCCTCGACTCAAGACTAGGAGTTCAAACAATGGTGGCCGCCCAGGGCCGTGCGTGCCACCCCCCCACCCCCGGGGTCCCCGCACGGCCCCATGTAAGACGGTTCCCCAAAATCAGAGCTAAGGAAAGCACCCCAATCGTCACCTTCACGTTCTCCCCAAATGGGATTTGCAATCATTTAGGATAGGTGGGTCCTATGAGAATACCAATGGTTTTCAAATCAAAGGAACACTGTAAAAGAGCTTCACCTATTTTTTAAGACTGTACAGCCCTTCAGCTTGTTATGCCAGCAGTTTCTTTCTGGGTGGTTTTTTTTTTTGGTCTGTTTTTGTTTTTAATCCCCTCGAGGTGGTTCTATGCTGTTGATCTTAACACAGCTCGCTGGGAAAGTGACGTGACCATCCTCACCGCTGTGTCTTCCCGAGGTATCACTTTGACCAGTGCCGTGCACACCACGTCCTGCTGCTTCTGCGTGTCACAAAAGCCATATTTCCAGGTCTGTGGTCCAGCACCAGGGTCCCGGGAGTGAGCTCATAGGAGAAATTTGTTTAAAAAAAAAAATAGCTTTCTCTTGCCTGGAATTGGAACTTTAAAGTGGTGCGTTCAATGTCTTACTTTGCAGAATGATTTTTCTCTACTTAACACGTTTGTTACCCTTGAATGAGGCTCTTCAATTGATAAAATTCTCTGAGAATTCCACACTTGGTAGATAATCAGAAGGGAATCATCTTGAGTGAGGCCAGCTCTCGGCCTGAGGCAGGCCACAGCTGCCTTTGGACAGACGTCACAGAATCAGCGCCGTGGGGAAGCACCCCCTGCCCGCCTCCCATGGTGCAGTCCCCAGGCTTCACGGAGGCGGCGGCGGCAGAGCAGCGACGGCCTCCAAGGAGTCTCTGTTGCAAAGAGGACACCTTAGTCGATGCCTCATAAGGAAAAAACAGCGTCTGAGTCTTCAGTGGTCTTCAATGCTGCTAAATATTTCAGACTTCCTTGCATGTATTAAGCTCTTTGTTTTCAATGGAACAGCACGCGGAGAAAAATCTTTACACTTAAGGCTCTGTTCTTGATGTCTCTCCTGGTGGCCAGTATTTTGACTGACTTATCCTGCTCGAAAGCTATTTGAGATGCATACCGCTGCCCTCAACCAGTGATTCTAGTTTCCTGTGTCCCTGGCGTAAGATGCTATAACTTGATGTTAAATGTCTTGATGCTTCAAAGGCTTCCGTCAGGATCTCTCTCTCTCTCAAGGTCTGGGGGGACCCACTCAGACCCTGTGAGGAGCGGAGCGGACATGGTTCCCTGTGCAGCTCAGAGTCTCCTGCCCGTGGGTCTCACTTAAACCGCCCACCCCCCACCCCCGACGGCGTGTATCTCCCTGGGTCCTGTCACTTGGAGGGAGCGGACCCCTTGTGTTCGGAGCAGGTAGTCAATTGGAAGGCCGCCCCGGCTGAAAGCGGGAGGAGAAACCTTCCTGAGAAACTTGACACTTTGCCTCCACTTTGCCATTATGAAATTTATCATTTAAAAAAAGTTCAGATGCCTTCTCCTTTTGAGGGAAAAAGGGTGCTTTTCACTGTATAAAGCAGCGTCTTGTGTATCTCGATAAACCATTGTTTGAACTTCCGTCTTCAGCTGACGGAGCTCAGATGCCCACAACTCGGATATTCTCTGCGTGTCCCCGAGAGGTCTCTGGGAAGCCTCTCTTGCCCAAGGGAAAAAACCAAAACCTCAGTGTTTGGGTGATGTGGAAAGCTCAGCATTTAGGAACATCTTTTTGTCTAGGTTTTCCTCCTGCTCTTTATTGAAGACAAACATTCACCAAAAAGGGAAAAAAAAAAGGGTTTTGAGAGAAAATGATTTTCTTTGACAAGAGTATTATTTAATATTTTGGCCTCTTAAAGTTTTCCTAGTTAGAACTCAGATTCCCTGTGTAATTGTCCAGCTTACATATTATTACATAGATACACTGTTTATTCTGTACCAAATTGATTTCAAAAGTACTACATTGAAAATAAACTGGTGACTGTTTTTCTTCATAAAGTTCTGCGTTTGGCATCTTCACTCTTTCCAAAACGTATCTGTACATCAGAAATGTCACTATTCTGAGTGTCTTTTTAGTGCGGCTTTAGTATGGCTTCCTTTTAATATTGTACATACATTGTATCTTTGTTTTACGGTAATGAGTAATAAAAATGTAGACTTCATATTTTGTACAAAATGTCCTATGTACAGAATAAAAAAAAGTTCATAGAAACAGCAAAAATAGGTAAGTGGCACAATTATTTTTCTTTAGAGAATATCTGTAACTTTATGCTTTAGTGAAATGTTAAGTACCTACATATTTTTTAACATTTTGTAATTCAGAACTTTTCGTTTTGACATTGTTTATGAGGAGAGACTTCATACACTTGCCATTTAATATGCTCTTTTATCTAATTTTCAAAGAAGAAAAACTCTAAAAAATGGTGTATTATATGGACTAAATAAAGAACCTGTGACTTTTACTGCTCATCATGACGCTAAATTCAGCCATGGTGTTGGGCAAGCCGGTGCCGATTGCTGTCGGGTGAGGATGAGGGGCGGGCTGGAAGGCCCTCGCTCAACACAGGTTGGGTGGCCGCCCTGCGTCCACCACAGCCCTGTCTTCCCCGAGCCTTCCATAAGCTCTTTTTTTTTTTTTTGCTTCTCTAATGGAAAAACAGTAGAGATGACTTTTTAATGACCACTGCTCGTTTGGCGAGTAGGCAAATGTGAGTCAGAACAGTTTATAGAAATGGAATTATCTGAGCCCTAACCGTGATGTTTAAAATGATTCTTGAAGGGCCGTTAAAGCCTTGAGCGCAGAGGAGAATGGCTGAGGAGGAGCTGGGGTCCCAGCTGATCCACCCTCATCTTCCCTGGGGCTCCCTGTCCTCACCGGTGTGGTTACAGAAAAGTCTCCCAGGATCAGCCACTCCCTGGAGTCCTGGGGACAGCCTCGGCCTCCTCAGGCCTCCCCGCGGGTGGGCTGCGACCCAGGCCCCTCCATTTCCTTATCTGTCAAACGTCCCTGTGACTCCTCTCCACCCACCCCACCCCCACCGACAACAGTGCCCGAGTCGCTCCTGGAGCGGGGGCTCGGCGACCACCTTGGGGACGTCCCGCCTGTCTGGTGAGGGGCCGTTCTGGAGACGCACCCAGGCCGCGCCCCACCGCCGAGGGTACCGGCGTGACGGCCCTTGAGCACTGGTGCGGCTGCTAGAGCGGCTGTGTCCTCAGACGGGGCCATCCCGTGCCTACGCCCCCTCTCCCCCCACACACACACACCCCCCGACGTGCTCACACCAGCAGCACACACAGAGTCAGAATATGCGCCAGGGGGTTGGCACTGATCAAGGGGCAGGACAGGGCGGCCCGGCACCAAAGGTAGCCTGGAGAAGTCGGCCTGAGGCTGCACTCTCCCGGGCAGGAGCCCTGTGAGAGTCTTCACTGCCCTCTCCGAGTGCACTTGCTAGAAATCTCTCAAATTCCCAGTCAATTTAAGGGCACCTGTGACGGCCTCCTGCAGCTCCAGGGCCCACGCAGGAGGCTGTGAGTGGAAGCTTCCGCTCCGGCCGGCCGAGCAGAGGAGAGAGCCCCAGGGACACAGGGTGTTCAGACCTCGCTGAAGGCAGGCTCCTCAGAACTTCCCAGGTGAGCGCACAGCAGGTGGTGTCCTCAGGAAGTGTTAACTGTCCAGCGGATTGTCTTAAAGCTTCCTCTCTTTTGGTCAGAGTCCAGATGATTCCATGGTAAACCCAGAGGTTGCTTCTTCCAGAATTGTTTCTCTGTGAGTTTCAAAAAGACTGCAGTAAAGAGCCCGCTATGGAGGGTAAACTGAGCCAAACCCAGCCCAGGGCAGGTGGGGGCCACTGGTGTGCCGGGCAGAGGATAAAACAGGCCTCCTGGACCCCGAGGGCGGCCTGAGTTTCAGCATCCCAACATCAGCACCTCGGGCTCCCTGACTCCCCGGAAGGGCACGCGGAAGCGAGCGGGGCTGCTGTCCTCACGGTTCATGAGCAGAAGGATCCAGATGGATCCAGATGGAAGTCAGCGCAGGGAGAGATGCGTGAGCCAGTGGAGTGGTCTGGGACCGGCTGGGAGCTCCCCACCCTGCTCCACCACCCAGCTCCTCCCCACCCCCCCCACACCCCTCCTCCCCTCCACCCCCACCCCCCTCCTCCCCGCCACCTGGCTCCTCCCTTCCTCCCCCGGGCTCTTCCTGGCCATCGTGGCCCCAGCCTTGGTGTCCAGTTTCATCGGGGGGTCAGTCACACTGACATAACTGACAAGGGTCATCCAGTCCCCCCAAAGACGGAGCTGATTCTGTGCGGCCCCCGCCCCAATCCCCACCATTAGCGCAGACTCTCCAGGGGGGCCCAAGTCCCCCAGACAGAACACCGACACGCTTACCTGGCAGGACGTTCCCAGGGCTGAGAGGTGACCACCGGGAGCAAAGGGCAGACCTGTGTCGGGCAAGGGGAGCCCCTGGGGGCTCAGCCGCCTCACAGATGAGCGGGAGGCACAGAGAGGTTGGTTAACCGTCCCGGCCACGGCCAGCACGGGGCAGAGCAGGTGGCCCGGTGGCACCTGTGCGCGGGGCCTTTGACTGCTTCCACCACACAGGCACGTGGAGACAGGAAGAGGAGGGGCTGCCGGCTGAACTGTGAGACCTGCTTTCCGACTGAGCCGCTCGAGGAAGTAGAAGCTTCCAGAGAGGAGACTCATGAGCTGCCCAGCAGAGGGACAGAGATTGAAGAGCAGGCTCCATCGCTCCAGGAGGGTGCAGCTCCACACCCGGAAGTGGCCCAGAGGTGACTTGTATTCAATATCAACATCAAATAAACCTGAAAATACGCCTCATTTTACATTTTCCCCTTCAACTCAAGAGTCTGAACATGGGGGAAACGTGTTCCCTGCTCCCTGGGCTTCTAGAATAGGCTGGTCGGCGAGGGCATCCTGGTAACGAAGGAGTGGGGGGAGGGGAGGTGTCTAGGTAACCAGTCGTCTTGGTTACCCGCCCAGTCAGGCAGGGGCCCAGGAGTCTCCAGGGTGGGGATCTCCGGCAAAAGAGGCTTCCTGACTTCACTCATTCATTCATAAGACGATGAACACCGCGGGCCCGCTGCCCAAACCAAGATGCAGTCCAGTAACTCTAAGTCGCCACTAGCTCCCTTGTGATCTTTCTTCTCCAGCCCGGAGATGAGCGTGACTTCCTCGCAAAGCAAAGGTGCTTCATGGGCGAGGAGACCCAGGTCCACCGATGCCCGGTGAGCAGAGAAGCCACGTCTCCCCATTCATAGCCCCTTGCTCTTGTCGACATGATTGAGACCCCAAAGCTGCCCCATCTAAGGTGACACGGGAACCATGTCGGATCCCTGATGGCCATGCCCGGGTCCCCACCGCCTGTCTGCGCCTGTCTGCTCACACAGTGCTGGGCATGGCAGAGCGCTCCTCTGTCCTCCAGGGCACTGAGCCTCCCTTTATGTCCACTCTGTCGTGTCTGACTCTGTGACCCCCCGGACTGTAGCCCTCCAGACTCCTCTGTCCATGGGATTCTCCAGGCAAGAATACTGGAGTGGGTTGCCATTTCCTCCTCCAGGGGATCTTCCAACCCAGGCATCGAACCCCATCTCTTTCATCTCCTGCATCAACAGGCAGGCTCTTTACCACTGTGCCACCCGGGTCAGGAAGCTGTCCTTCACCCAACATGCTTCTCCTCCACACTGTGGCTTCTCCTCCGCACTTAAGCCTTCATGAAGCACGAACATTAATAGTAGTTGCCTAGTAATTCCCCACTTGACAACAACTGGCACTACTGTGTGCGACCCTCCCCCGCTGGAAAAACCAGTAATACAGCAGCAGTGTCGATCTGCCTCCAGCCCTGTGGAATCTGGAATTCTAGGAACCCTGGTCTAGTTCAAAACCCTTGTTTTACAGAGAATGAAGCAGACCCAGAGACAGGAGAGCCCGGATGAAACTAGTGGATGCTGGTACCCAGCCCGTCGCACGCGTCTAATGACACCTCGGAGTTCTGTGTTTGTGGGTCATCCTCTATGTTGCCTGCCACTTGTATTCTTTCTAGGTTGTGAATTTTTTAAATATCTCTGTAGGAAAATGAAATACTTAGGCAATGAGCTTCATATGGAAATGTTTTTTAACAAGTGAAAATTTAAATATTTTCAGAGTGCAAAAAAAAATGTCATGGAATTCCCTGGTTGCCCAGTGGTTAGCACTGGGCTTTCCCTGCCAGGGCCCAGGTTCCATCCCTGGTCGGGGAACTAAGATCCCCCAAGCCGCACAGCATGTATAAATAAATAAGGCTCATATTAAAGTGAAAGTTGCTCAGTCTTGTCCGACTCTTTGCGACCCCACGGACTATACAGTCCATGGAATTCTCCAGGCCAGAACACTGGAGTAGGTAGCTGTTCCCTTCTCCCGGGGATCTTCCCAACCCAGGGATCAAACCCAGGTCTCCCGCACTGCAGGCGGATTCTTTGCCAGCTGAGCCACAAGAGAAGCCCAAAATATTAAAATCCAAGTTTCTCAGAACATTTGGGAAAAGCATTTTGAATCATCTTCAGTCCATTATCCAGGATGTACCAGAAGTGCTCAGTCATTTATAACCACACATTTTCTATTTTTAAAAAAGTACCATATTTTTCACTCGTTGACCTTGCAAAATTTGAGTATAAAAAAAAAAAAAACTCAAACCCAGGCTGCTAAGAGTGAAGATGTGACCTGAGTGAAGATAGTGGAAAGAATTCTGAACAACAGATGTCTCTGCATGTGTGGGTGCTGGGGCCTCAGGGTGCCTGGGACGGTCTCAACCCCACACACAGCGGCCGGCGCTGCAGGACAGGCCACACCTGCCTGCCACCTCCCAGCCACGACCCTGCTATCTTCATCCCAGGGACCAGCGCCACCACCACCCCTGGTCAAACCCGGAAGCCAGCCTGGATTCTCCCTGCACTTGGAGTCTTAAATCCTGGAGGCCACACCTCCCAGGTGCACCTGTCCATCTGCCTTACCCAAACTTCGCTCTTGGGCCTCCATCCCCGGCTTCCATCGTCCCCTGGACAGTGTGACAGCCTTCTCTCCAGAGCATCTTAAACGGTGATCACCTCACCCTCTTGCTTAAAACCCTTGAGCAGCTTCACCAGACATTTAAAGCCTGAACTCCTTGCTATGGAAACAAGAGTCCCTAATTTGACTCCTGCCAACCTGTTCCATCACTGGTCTGAGTCTTACCTCTTTCCTGCCTCAGGGCCTTTGCATAGGCTGTCATGCCCATGCCATCCCCAAAGTGGCCTGGCTGACTTCTTTTTATCCCACAGGTGTAAATGGCCATGTCTTTTCCTCAAAGACGCCTTCTCTGACCACCCTATCGAATTGGATATCCCCCTTACTCTCAGCCCACCCCCTTTCCTTCAGAGCCCTGATACAATTTGCAATTTTGTTTCTCAGTTAAGAGCCTCCACCCCCAGACAGGAACCTCACCTGTTTTTCATGGTATGTCACCGGCACCCAGCTCTGTCCCTGGGATACTCTGCTCACTCAGTTAAGTGAATAAAGGTACAAAGGGCTGAATGCCTGCCCGAGAGGGGCTGTGCTCCCAGAGGAGGCGGCCGTGGGGAAGAGGACCCTTTGGCCCTCATCCCATCGGTGTTTATGGGATGCACCAGGCAGTGATGGTGGGGAGAGCAGCACAGACCTCAGCACCTGGGCAGGGAGAGGGTGGGGTGCTGCAGGGGCACCCCACTGGGCTCCGCCCTCTGAGGGCAGGGAATATTGCCTGCAAAGGGATGAGTTCAAAGACCCAGAGGTGGGAGAGGCCTGAAGTTCTGCTGGAGCTACGCTGTCACCAGACGGCCCAAGGACAGTGGTCATGAAATGAGGCTGTAGATGTGTGCAAGGGCCAGCGGAATGCAGACTTGAGCCCGTAGGCGGTGGGCAACTGAAAAGGATTCTACCCACAGTGGGTGACAAGATTAGAACAGGCAGGTGACATGTAAACCCCGCAAGTTGACAAGAGCTAAGGCTCCTGTGCAAAAGAGTGAGGACCGGCTGGGAGGAGCTGGAGCCGCCTGAGGGTGCCAAGTCTCTGCTGCCGCTGGGACTCAGGGTGCCCGGCGCAGGAGACCCTGCTGTGCCAGGGAGTCAGGCTGGATGGCATAGAGAGGAAGGGCGGTGCCTGGAGAAGGCTTGCAGGACCCCGAGGCACAGAGGGTGGCCCAGCGTTCCACCCATGGGGAATGTCCACTTGGTCTCTCTCGGGCTGTGCCCGGACCCAGGAGGCAGTCCGGGGACAGAGACTCGGAGGGCACGTGGCCTGTCCCGTCCTGAGCAGAGCAGAGCTGGTACCTCATCCAGGCAACGGGAATCCAAACACTGCTCTCATCTGTCACCCGCCCCTGCCCACCCAGGCCCTTGACCAGACCTGGCAGGCCTGCCAGAAAGAGGGGCAGCAAGGGGATCAGGGGGCTTCCAGGTGGCACTGGTGGTAGAGAACCCACCTACCAATGTGGGAGACGTAAGAGATACGGGTTCGAGGCCAGTGTCACCAAGATCCCCTGGAGGAGGGCATGGAAACCCACTCCTGTGTTCTTGCCTGGAGCATCCCATGGACAGGGGAGCCTAGTGGGCTACAGTCCACGGGGACAGAGTTGGACACGACTGGAGTGACTGAACATATATGCATGCACGCGAGGAGACGCAGCGCTAAGAGAAGGAAGGGAGGAGGGATCCACATAGAGGCACAGGTCTGGGGCAAGTAGAGGAAGGAGGAGCTCTCTGATCCCCTGGATTTTCTCAGTGAATCCTGAGTGTGCAATGAGGCTATACTGAAAGTGAGGCCAGTGCTGTGATTCTTTCTGGCCGCACGGGGCGGGGTCGGGGGAGGCCCCACCTCCCACCACCTGCTTGCCCCCTCCTCCAGGAGTGAGGTTTTGTGATTTAGTTTCTTGGGCTTCAAACCACTGCGGGTGGGGACTGCAACCATGAAATTAAAAGACGCTTTCTCCTTGGGAAAAAAGCTATGACAAACCTAGACAGTGTATTAAAAAGCAGGGACATCACTTTGCCAACAAAGGTCCATATAGTCAAAGCTACGGTTTTTCCAGTAATCACGAACGGATGTGAGAGTTGGACCATAAAGAAGGCTGAGCTCCGAAGAATTAATGCCTTTGAACTCTGGTGGTGTTGGAGAAGACTCTTGAGAGTCCCCTGGACTGCAAGGAGATCAAACCAGTCAATCCTAAAGGAAATCAACTCTGAATATTTATTGGAAGGGCTGAAGCTGAAGCTCCAATACTTTGGCCACCTGATGCCAAGAGCCAACTCATTTGAAAAGACCCTGATGCTGGGAAAGATTGAAGGCAGGAGAAGGCGACGACAAAGGACAAAATGGTTGGATGGCATCACCAACTCAATGGACATGAGTTTGAGCAAACTACGGGAGACAGTGAAGGACAGGGAAGTCTGGTGTGCTCCACTCCATGAGGTCGCAAAGAGTCGGACATGACTAAGCGACAGAACAACAACAATAGAATTAACTCTCCATGAAACCTACTCTTTCAAGGGCACTACAGGTGATGACCCAGAATTCACAAGAGGTAGCTGGCCCTTCTCTCACTATAAAGGAGGAAAAAGAATCAGTTTCCCCTGATGGGTCCTCCCTAGAGGTTCATCCCTCTAAGCTCTGAGGAGACGTCGAGCAGGTGATTACCGTAATGCTCCCCAGTCCCGATGATGCCAGAGGACCCATCCACTCATGGCCGCATTCTAGCTGGCCCTCCGAGGCTGAGCTCTAGGGAGGAAAGCGTCCTGAAGCCTGTAGCTTGGGCTGCGATTCCAGTTCCCTCGCCCTCCAGGCTCCCATCTGTGAAATGCAGATAATGGTTCAGTCCTTGGAGGTGTTTGGGAGGATTAAAGAGATGATCATTTAAAGCAGGCAGAGGAAGCCCAGCAGATGGCACCTGCTGTAATTGTGATGTTACCTCGCCCCGTCTCACAGCGAGAAAACAAGGGCTCTGAGAGGGAAAGGGGCTCATCCTGGAAAGTCAGCCACCCTGGTGGGATATGCTGGTCACCACGGAGCTGAGAAAGAAATTCACATTGCAGTGGGGGGGGGGGCGGGCGGGGGGAAAGAGCATTTTCGTTTATTGTTGATGGATATACAACCTGTATAACTCTTTAGAAGGGCAGCTGGGTAATGTTTAAAATATTAAATATTAAAAATATTTTGAGAACTTGCCTGGTGGCCCAGTGGTTTAGAATCCACCTTCCAATGCAGGAGAGGTGGGTTTGACCCCTGATCCGGAAAGATCCCACAAGCAATGGGGCAATGAAACCCAAGCGCCACAGCGACTGAAGCCCACAGTCCCCAGAGCCTGTGCTCCGCAAACAAGAGAAGTTATGACACGGAGAAGCCCAAGCATCACAACTGGAGAGCAGCCCCCGCTCGCCGCAACTGGAGAAAGCCCTCATGCAGCAACAAAGACCCAGCGCAGCCAACTAACTAAATAAGTAAATTTTTTAAAAAATGACTTTACCTTCCAACGCAGGGGGTCCCTTCACCTGGTCAGGACAGGTTAGAGCTCACATGTCTCCTAGCAAAAACAAAACAAAACAAAACAAAACATAAAACAGAAGCAATATTGTAACAAATGCAAGAAAGACTTTAAAAGTGATTCACATCCCCAAAAAATCTGTAAAAAAAATCTTCTAAATGTCATGCCTTTCACACTGCAAGTCGGCTTCCAGGCACTTAGCCACCAGTAACACTTGCAGAAGAGAATGATGGCTGTCAGCCTGAGATGGTCACAGGGGCCTTGTTCTCTACAGTGAAAAGTGGTGAAAGTCACAGAGAACTTATTTGTAAATAAAGGTGCATCCTGAGAACTTAGAGCTCCTGGCACACAACAGCCCCATCCAAACCCCAGCATGAAGAGATGACGAAACTCCAGCCCGGGTCCTGTGGCATGAGGCTGTGTCCCTAGGAGGACCCCAGGACCCCCCTCCCCATTAAAACACCTACCTGAGAAAGCCAGGGGACTGCCCCAGGAGAATTTTCCATTTGTTCCAGCCAACCCCTGACCACAGGCCCTGACTTCCCTTCTAGAGCATTTACTAAGAAGGGCTTGCAGTTGTGAACCTTCCTCTGCCCCTTTGAGGCAAACAGGTACCTCCTACAGCCCAGGAGTGTCTTTCTCAAGGACCTGAAAGTCGTTCCCTTGAAATGGACTCAGAAGGAAGGATACAGCTCCCATGGAGGTAGAAGTTTGACCCAGCCGCCCAGTCTGATCTGCACTCACCCACCCTTGATGATTTTGTACTTGAACCCCCACCCTCCACACGCCCCTTCCGACTCGCTCATCCTCTCTTTAAAACACCTGTAACCTCTGCATAAGTCAGAGCAGAACTCAGCTTTCCCCCTGCAGTCTGTAGTGACTGAATGATACCTGTTTTCACAGTTTTAGCTGATGTCAGCTGTGTTTATCCGTGACCACCCCTAGAATGGAACAGTGTGTAAACTTTAATGAAAGTTCTCCAAGCACTTACAGTAGTGCCTGGAACACATTCAGGGTACTCTTATGATTATTATCATTTGTCATCTGTTGGAAAAGGGAATGCATTAGGAGTGTGCACACAGAAAGATATATCGAGCCACAGGCCTAAGATGAATATATTTTATGCTTTCAACTGTTCCATGACAGTTTTTAAAAATGGACAATGTGTTAAAACTGTATGTTCTCACATGGAAAGTTATTCAAAACATATGTTTAGATGAAACAAGCAAACAGTTTGCATAATAGAATGACATTATATGCATACACATATATAGCATCCCAAAATATAACATATATATACATATATTACTGTTGTCCAGTCACTAAATCATATCTGATTCTTTGCAACTTCATGGAGTGCAGCACACCAAGCTCCTGTGTCCTCCACTGTCTCCCAGAGTTTGCTCAAATTCATATGTATTATGAATATATGTTATATATAATAAATAAATAAATATGTGTGTGTGTGTGTGTGTGTGTGTGTGTGTGTGTCTTTGGAAACCTAATGCAAAGAGTCAACTCATTGGAAAAGACCCCGATACTGGGAAAGATTGAGGGCAAGAGGAGAAGGGGGATGAGATGGCTAGATAACATCACCGACTCAATGGACTTGAGTTTGAGCAAGCTCCTAGAGATAGTGAAAGACAGGGAAGCCTGGTGTGCTGCAGTCCATGGAGTCCCAAAGAATAGGACACAACTCAGCAATATGTATTATACCATATGCTATATATAATGTCAGTATTGCAAAAATTAAATATTCCAAGAGCTTATATATTTCTGGAATATGTGCACTGATCTTACACATGTACGTTCCTGGTTTTTTAAAAATCGTGCATCACCTACCAATGCAACATTTGGAGTCAGCCGGACCGCTGCGTCTCAGGCCATTACGCTGACCTGCAGTCTCCCTCTTCACCACCAGAGGGCACCAGAAGCACCCACAGAGATTTCCCTACCCTCTGGCATATGGGATGCCTGAGCCTCCTCATGTTCAACTGTTTCTACGTAATTGCTGGTCAGACTGCTGTAAACTGAACACTCAGTGCTTCTTGATGCATTCTCCCAGCATCATACCCTTTAAATGAAATTAAGCTCTTGTGAGATGAAAAAAATATTAACTCGGTTATGTTTCTCCAGCCTAGTCCAGATCCTGGTGGGCTCTTCTAAGCTGGAAGGGGAGAATGGAATTTTTTTTTAATTGAAGTAAAGCTGATTTACAATCTTGTGTTAATTTCTGCTGTACTGTGATTGTTATACATATATATTCTTCTTTATATTCTCTTCCACTATGGTTTATCACAGGATGTTGGATATAATTCCCTGTGCTATACAGTGGGACCCTGTTGTTTATTCATTCTATATGTAACAGTTTGCATCCGCTAACCCCAAGCTCCCAGTCCGTCCCTCCCCCACCCAGAAGTAATTCTTACTGAGCACCTACAACATGTTGGACTTTCCCTCTGCACACAGCATCTTATCAAATTTTCACAACAATTAGGTTAGTGTTCTTAATCCCCACTTTTCAGATGGGAACACTGAGATTCCGATGGATTAACTGATTGACCCAAGCTCGCCAGCTAGTTACTAATAGACTGTGAATTCAAACGCAGGCCAGCAGGGTCCTAAGATTTTGTTTACCCTCTATAAAGCCCTCACTTGTCTCCAAATTTATGAATTTGTTGTTGTTCAATCGCTGTCGTGTCCAACTCTGAGACCCCAGGGACTGCAGCCCGCCAGGTTTAAGAAAATAAATCCAAGGTATATTGGTGGGAGATCCCCAATCAGCACTCAGGTGTCAAGGTATCCAGAATGTGTTCTTGTTAATGCTCCCTCTGCCTTCAAGTCTGGTGTGTGCCCAGCTGGGACCAGTGCAGAAATACCAAGGCCTGGCATCACTCTCTGACTTGCCATGTTGTTCAAAATTCAAAATGAAAAGCAGTTTAAGAAAAAAAAAAAGCAAAAAACCCTCTCCTTCCAACACTCTGCGCCCTCCCTGCCCCAAACCATCCACTCACCCAGTTCCACTCCCCAGAGGCAAACTTGCTTGTTTTTCCAGAGATTATCTTTAATGTTTGTAATACAATCAATGCTGTTTTATTCAGAGTTGCCTATGGCTATGGCTATGGTCTCCCCCAAAACCCAAAAACAGTGTCACCCAGAATTTTTATTACTACTATTTCCAAATTATAAAGACAAAACTCGAGCCCTTGGGATTTGCAGTGAACTGCCCAAGGTCCACCAGCTGGATGACCGAGGGTCTGACCCTAGTGCTGGCTCTCTGACCGGGCAGGGCCCTGAGTCCCGCTCTGCCCAGTGTCCCCTTTGTGTCTGTCACTCTCTCCTGCCTTCCTTCTCCTTCCACGCTGTAATCACTTCTAAATCCTCACCTAACTCAAGTGTTGCTCAATTTGAATCACAGGTAGGAGGACCTTAATGATGGGTCCAGCCCCCACGCTTTACAGATGGGCAAACTGAGGCCCAGAGAGGCTCCTGCCAATGTTCAGATTTCCACAACCAGCCTTTGTTCAGCTGTTCTGTTTACCACCTCAGTCTGCCCAACTGCCTCCTGCCCTTGAACTGCTCACATAAACAGCCAGCCAGCTCTTCCTGCGAGAGCACCCCTAGTTCTTCACCTTCCTCTCATTGGTCCGCACGCTCGCAGCAACCCTCCAAGGGTCAAAACGCTGGCCCTGCCACCTTCTCTCCTCTCCTCCTGTGACAGCTGGCACCTTACCCAGGCTGCTCCCCCCTCCCCCCGACTCGGCTATTAGCTATTTATCCTTCAGTCTTAGACCTCCCTGGTGACCCATCCAAAGGCACTCACGACCTGTCCCTCAGCTCTAACCTCACTGTATCTCCCGTAGACCGTGCGCTCAATGGGTACAGAGCCTGCGCCCGTCTTGTTCATCACTGTGCCTCCAGGGTCTGGCACTGTGCTTCACCCTCCACTGGCTGGTTAAGCTCAATCAAAGCCGGATGAAAGAATGAATGGTTGAACCATCCGCCGGAAAGAAGAGGCTGACTCCACCAGGCAGTTGTGCAATCAAAAGTTGTGTACAGGTAATACCAAGTGTGTACAAGTGTTCCTTTGGAGCAGACTGAGGCGTGTGCACGGGGTAACTGGGAGAAATAACGTTAGGATAGTCTCTTCCCTCTAATAAGCACCTCTGAACATCTGTGCCAGATTCTATGCTGAGGGGAAAAAAAGCCAAAGGATGGACTAAGTGGGGCCCCCTTAGTCCTGCCAGAGTTCTTAGCATATAAACCTGATGAAGGCCCCCCACCACCAATCCACAGGGGCTCCTACACGGCCTGTGTGTTAGTCGCTCAGTCGTGTCCGACTCTTGGCGACCCCATGGACTGTAGCCCACCAGCCTCCTCTGTCCATGAGATTCTCCAGGCAGGAATACTGGAGTGGACTGCCATTTCTCACACGGCCTATCCTGCATATAATCTGAAGGGGATCCCAGAAAGTCCAGTCAAAGTATCCGGCTTAAGTATCCCTAGTCTAGATGGAATGAGGAATCTCAAACCAGGGCTTGGTGAGCGAGCCAGGTCAAGACAAAACCGAGGGCGGAACCCAATGCTTCGGAGGAGGTCGCGGGAACAAGGCCTTTAGGGCTAGGGCAGGGACGGCCACGGGATGCCCGTAGGCCCATTTTGAGAAACTCGTCCCATTCGCCAGAAACAAGTGAGCCGAGTATAGGTTTCCGGGTGAGAAAGATGGCAAACTGCAGACGGGCTCGGAAAGATGACGCGACTGCGCGCGAAGACGCACATCCTCCCCGCCCGATGCATTCTGGGGCTTAAAGTCACCAATCGGACAGCAGTCTCTCGAGCGAGCGAGATTCACGCAGAGGACGGAGATCTCGGCGAGAGATTCCCACCCCCCTGGCAGGGATGGGCCAATCCCAGGGCGTCCGGTCCACAGGGCCGTGGGACACGTGACCGCGCCGACGCCGGGGCACGTGACTTCAGCGGCCGCTCCCCGGGTAAAGGGCTTAGAGCGATCTGGAGTCTAAATGGGCTTTCGGCCGGGAAGCCAGCGGGCTGCCGGCGGGTCCCGGCGTCCGCACGCCGCCGCCACCGTGGGCGAGTCCCAACCCTGACTGACTAAGGAGCCCGCCGGAAACTTGGTCCGGTCTTCAGTGCCCTCACCTGTGAGACGGGCCCAGGGCTGCCCCCAGGCCAGGGGAGGCGTGGTGCGTGGAACGCGCCGCCGGCTAGGAAGCGGGGCGAAGGCCAGGCGGGACTCGGCAGCCCCGGGAAGCGGGTGCCCGGTTCCACCAGCCCGGGAAGCTGACCGCGGTTTACGCGCTGAGCAGAGCCCGCTGTCCTTGTCTGACTTACGGGGCCAGTCGTCCAGAGTGGGTGTGTGGCGGTGCGAACCGCCTGCTCTCCCTGTGTCGTCTTACTAGGTCTTAGCAGCGGTATGGGGTTCGGCGTCGTAGAGGGGTCAGCGCTGAGGCCACACAGCCTGGACGCGAAGGAGCCGGGGTTGGACCCAGGTGTCCGCCTGCTCAGCCCGCAGGCCTTCCACTAGGTGGCTCCTGCCACCCGGAGGGGTCCATGCATCCGGAGGAGCCCATGCAGCTCCTCCAGAAGGGACTCGGCTCTCGTCGGTGAGAACCGCCTGGCCCTCGTGCCCCTTTGATCTCCATCGTCGACCCCGGTGTCTGGAAGGCCAGGCCCCTGGTCTTCTGGAAGCATACTCAGGATGCTAGAAGGGCGGGCGGGAGCTGCGAGTTTCACCGTAAAGGGAGGGGCGGGCCCTGAGCCGACGCGGCTTGGTCATCCCGGGACCCTTGCCCCAGAGAACCAGAGCCACCCACTGCCGCGTTAGGAGGTCTGATCCTCCTCGAGAGGAGGGGCTCTGTGACCCATGTGGTCATCACAACAGCCCCTGCCTTACTTTCTGTGTTTACAAACTTAAGAAGTGTTCGGTTTGCTGCAATGAGTAAAGGGGTACCTGTGTTACACCCCATGCCATCACCACACACAGCACAATTGCCTTTGTTATTGACATCTTACATTGGTATTTCCTTTGTTATTGACATCTTAACATGGGTGGTGCGTTTGCTACAGTTGGTTAAACGGTATAGACAAGTTATTGTTAACTGGAGTCCACAGCTTGTTCAGAGTTTCTTCGTTTTTTCCCAGAATGTTTCTGCTGTGTCAGGATCCCGTCCAGAATACTGCCATCATGTGTGATTGTCCACCTCACTTTTTTATTGTGAAGGCGCAGTATTGAGAGATGAGGTTAAAGAAGCACAGACTTGCTGAACTCCTTTCTCCTTGGCTTCAAGTCTGAGTGGATGCTAGGGCAGAAGCTGCTGCTGGGGGCTGCGTTCCGTGTTGTGTGTGACAAGTGGCAGCCGAGAGGGCCCTGGGTTCCGGGGAAAGGCAGGGCTCCAAGGAGGAGTTCCTTCCAGAGCAGCGCCTCCGGCTGGGGTGATGGGGAGTTATTGTTTAGAGTAGAAATTTTCTGTTTGGACATGGATAGTGGTGATGGCTGCCACCGATTGTACACTTAGAATGCTTCCGTTTTATGTATGAATGCGTGCATGCTAAGTCACTTCAGTCGTGTCCAACTCTGTGCGACCCTGTGAACTGCAGCCCACCAGGCTCCTCTGACCATGGGATTCTCCAGGGGAGAATACTGGAGTGGGTTTCTGTGCCCTCCTTCAGGGGATCTTCCCAACCCAGGGATCAAATTTGTGTCTCTTATGTCTACCTGCATGGGCAGGTGGATTCTTTACCACTAGCGCCACCTGGGAAGCCCCAGTTTTATGTATATTTTACCACACTTTTTTTTTTTCAAGCTGAAGAAATAAATACCCAATTTAAACAAGATATCTGGTCTTAGCTTTTCAATAAAGGAAACCTGAATGTATATGCTTCAGAACTAAACAGAACTGTGCCCAGAAAACCCTACATTCCTCCCAGACCTGGGATCAGGGCTCAGTGGAGACTGGGCTCCAGCACTGCTATCACTGTTACTAGCAACAGCATTAACAAGAGCTGCTGTGAGTGATCTCTCACTGTTCTGGCAGCTTTACTGCCTTATCTCACGTATTCCTCACAGAGCTGCAGGAGCAGTTAGGTTCATTAGCTTCATTTAAAGATGGGGAAGATGGCACAGAGAAGTTAGGGGACTCACCCAAGGTCACGCAGCTGGTAGTGGCAGCACCAGGATCATAGCAGAACCAAAACTTGCTCACATCCCCCTGCCATGCCAGCCTCACGTTCCAAACCCCTCCAAAGGCAGCTTAGTAGCGGAAGAAAGGTATCCTTCAACAAGCCTGCGAGCGAGGCTGGTGGGTGTCTGCGGAGCCCTTCATCCGGTGGAACTGAGGACTGTCAGCAGGAGCCGCTGGTCGCCTGCTGTGTAAAACGCGGCCCCGGTTTACTGAGCTCCTGGGTCTGCTCTGGGCCAGGATGCTCCATGCATCACCTGGAGGTCTCTAGCCCCACACTGGCTTGATTTCAAGTTCCACCAAAACATTCCCTAGCCAAGTTATTTGGGGAATTACTTGGGGGCACCTCCCTGCCCTCTAGAGAGTCACATGGCTTTCGCATAGATTTCACATGCCGCGGAAAAGTCCTGTCCTTAAGCTTTGTTTAGCATAGGGATTCCCAACCTCACTTGATCCCAGAGGCCCATTTTCAACGTACAACCAGCCCCCACCCTCCAGGTTACGGGGCAGTTTCTCCAGGCAGTACTGGGCAATGTGCTTCTAAACACAGCATCTCATGTCTTCATGGGCAAGGAACAGACAGAGAGAGAGCATAAGTGGCTTAACCAGGCCCCTTCTTGCTCAATTTAGAAAATAAATACAAAATTGCTTAGGATAGAGAAACAGCAATTGTCAGACTTAAAGAAGGCCGACTAGCAGTGAACAGGGGATTCCAGCATCTACTGGGGTCAAGGAAATAGTATGTGTTTGCTGATGAAACACTACGTCCTGTCACTTTCAGGGCCAGATTGGGGTTTTATCTTGTCAATAAAATTGTGGACATGTCCACTCTGCCTTCATGCTGAAAAGGGGTCGTCGCACTGAGGTTCAACAAAGTCCCAGCTAGCAGGACACCATGCCCTGTGCTCTGCACCTCACCGGATAGGGAGTCCCACTGGGGATTTGGGTCGGGGGTGGGGGGAGGCTGTAGTATGTGTCCATCCCTTGAAGTAAAGAAGGAAACTTTTTGTCAAAGTGAACAACTGGATGCTTAACCGTCCGAGCAGATATTTGGATGACCATGCTGCCACTCTAGGCCAGTGATCCATTTTACAGATGGAAAGTGGAGGCTCAGAGAGCAGCTGCTGGGGGATGTTTGGGCAAGAGAGGGAGCAATGGCAGCCCCTCTGTGCTTGGTGCTACATTAGAGACTGGGGGGAAAGATAGCCCACACTGTCTTGATGGTTAAAGGGCTCTAGGCATGCACAGTATCACCTGAGTTTGAGCTCTTCCTATGGTCTTGCTACCTATGAGATCTTAAGCAGGTTGCTTCTGCCTTCGACTGTATCACCCTGTGTTCAAACTGTGGTGATAATAAGCTATCTCCCTAATGTTGTGGACGTCAGATAAAGCCATCAGATCAAGCTAGCTCATGATGGTGCACAGCCGTGCTTGTCACAGGCATGACTGTCCAGCCACAAACGTGTGTGTGGGCCATTCCACTGGCTCCATTTTCTGTAACAATTTCTGACCCCAGTTCCCATCCCACGATTCCACGGGGTCTGTTCCAGAGTTCTGTGCGTTCCTGAGTCAGGACTCCCACAGGAACAGGGTCTGGGCTGGGGGTGATGGGACCTGCTGGCCACTCCTCACCCATCCACACCAGTCACTGCAGCCCCTGGATCTTATGCCACAGTGCTGCTCCCAGCCTCGAGGGCGGCTTTGGTGAGCCTGTCAGGGGTCCTGCACCTGAGCACACCCCCCTGCATTGCTCTCTGGGGGCCCGTGGGCAGCAGGCTTGGGACCCCCTCACCTACCTCTCCCCGCAGCCCAAGATACCTCATCACCCACCGCTTCTCCAGGACACTTTGCCCGCAAGGGAGACGCCAGATCTTCCTTCCTCTTCCTTACATCCTTGTTGTCTGGGTCTTAGGGGAAAAACCAAAGTCTGAAATACCCACAGGCACCTTCCGCTTTCAGTCCTGGGGCAAGGGGCCCAGTCTGGCTCCTACTTGCAGGGGGTGAAGGAGCAGGAAGAGGGAAGGAAAGTGACAAGGTAGGCGGCCCCTACTTACACAGCTCCAACAGGCACAGATCTCAGTTCCTGTGGGCCAGTTGAATAACAGCAGCCCCCGGCGTGGCTTGGTTACCAGTGTGTGAACGTAACTGCCTCAAGCGCAAGCTGCGCTGAGGGCTGTTCAGCCTTCGCCAACGCATCATGGCGCTGCTTTCACAGCCTCGCCCACGGGGCACCTGCCCCTCGGTTCCCACCGCCGGCAACGTGGGTAGCTGTGTTGGCTTCTGTGACAAACCCACTTAACATGTTACAGAAATGTATCAATTGAGGAACCTCCCCGGTGGTTCAGTGGCTAAGACTGTGCTCCGCAATGCAAAGGGGCCTGGATTTAATCCTTGGGTGGGGAGCTAGATCTCACAACTCAGAGCCACCTGCCCTAAAGGACTCACATGCTACAGTGAAGATCGGAGATCCCACCTGCAGCAACTAAGACCTGACCTAAAAATATATAAATTAAAATAAATAAATTTTTAAAAATGTATCACTGACACAGGGAGTTGGCCAAAAGGTGGAAGTGCAGGAAAGGTACCAAAGCTGCTAATAATGCTGAAAGTGAAAAACTGCTAATAATGCTGAAAGTGAAATTGGAGTGAACCGGGCTTCCCAGGTGGCGCTAATGGTAAGGAACCTGCCGGCCAATACAGGAGACATAAGAGATGTGGGTTCAATCCCTGGGTCGAGGAGGAAGTGATTTAGTATTCGTGTGACAATTCTAGAAGGAAGAACTGGTGGGAGATGTGGATTCCGCTGCTTCTCCAGGGCCAGAAGTGTGCGGCTGAGGAACCTGGTGAGTGATGGGAAGGAGGAAGACTCCGAGGAAGTGATGCCAATAAAAACCTTCATGGTAAAGGAACTCAGAGATGTTTCAAATCATTGAACGTGCAAAGGCCACATCAGAGGCTGGTCCAGATCTAGAAAGGACATTGACAGTTCACCATGGCAGAGAAAAGAGGCTTGTTCCCTATGGTCAGTTATACAGTCAGAAGGGGGCAAGCACTGTTCAAACTACTCCTAATAAGTTTTTCTTAAAATTGTGGTTAAAGACACATACTATAAAATCCACCTCCAAGTATACAGTTCGTGGCATTGAGTCCACTCACACTGTTGTAAAAAGTCAGACCACTTCGTGAATTTGTGTCACCCTTGGGCAAAACTGTGCTCACCTTCTCTGATCTTTCCAGTTCTAGCATCTATGTGACCTTTGCACAAAGAAACAGAGGACTTTAATTCTCAGTGTTTCTTGTGTTTTCAGTTAGAATGTACTAGATAAATGTCAGTTGTACTATTTTT